CAGAGAGAGATATTCGGCTCGAGGATACGACAGTCGTGGTACCTGGGTCCCAGACGAGGCACGGTTGGCCCCTGGGGAAGCAAACAGAAGAGCATACGAAGAAGAAGCGCCGCATTATTATACGACGAGCGGGACAACAAGTGACGCGGAACCCAACTTCTCCAGAACTTTCATGGTATTTCTCAGCAGCACTCCATCATGAAATACTATCTTAACAATCCAAAGGGGGGGAGGACGGACGGATTTCTGAACCTCGGGGTCAACTTCTCGAGGAAAATTCAATGGGAGCTTTATCCTTTGAATCTTGAGGTAGCGATTGAGACGACTGAAGAGTTTCGCTATAACGCCCAAGCAATGTACAGTACATTCCTCGAGCTGATCGTCCCATGATCAGAGTCAGTCAGACCATTATTAACCAGGTGTGTTACATACGAACCATGCAATATCATTTGGTCTCCTTGTCGTCACGGCGTAATTCGGAGTTGAACACGCTGCGAAGAAATGCAAGCTCAGGCAATCGCCCCATCATCCATCGGTTGCCCGACTTGCGACGTGGAGTTCAGACGAAGAAACCGTCAATCTACCTCACTTTATATCTCTTCAACCGCTGTTCTTATGCTGTCCCACGACAGAGGAAGTTGGAGCTTCTCAATGCAGAAGGGTGGGGATGTATGATGGGGAAAAAAAAACCTGAGCAGGAAAAAAGATAAAAGCACCACTTCTCGAACTTTGCAAGTGAAACGCACCAACTCGCCTTTTTTTTTTTCAGAGCGCGACCTGAATGAGATGGAATTAGGATCCGACATTACTGATACCCAGTTTGATTTGTTGCGAGCTATTTGGCCTCTACTCTGATGCTCAGACGGACTGGCTAGTGCGTGACAAGGGAATCTACGGACTGAACAAAAAATGGGAAGAAGCTCAAAATATTGTCAATTCATCATCAGAGCTTCGCCGATATTTGAATCTCGTGGAAGAAGACACAAGGGTCCAGTCTCTCAATGCAAATGATGACAGGTGGCCTGGATCATTCAAGCCTGTTCAGAAATTCCAATAACCTATATGATATATTTACGCCAATTTGGACAAGCATTGCAAGGAAATCGCAGCTACTTCTCACCAACTCACACCCTCTGAAAACATGGATCGCCGCGCTCATGACTTGCAGTACACCCAAATATCCCACGCTCTTGAATATCGTACAGAAAGAAGGTGGTGATAAAAAGACAAGGGCAAACTTATGGTGTTTGCACATTTGCCGACAGTACTGACGACTTTCACCACCTCTCCAACGCTAAACGCGCCTGGGACATCTTGAAGGGCCTCATTATTTCCGCCCCTGTCCTCGAATATCCCGACTTCACCAAACCTTTTATCCTCTACGTTGATGGAAGCAAGGAATGGGGATATGGAGCCTCGGTTCATCAAATTGGTGCTGATGACATAGAACACCCAGTCGTCTTTCTCTCTCGCTTATTACATGCAGCCGAAAAGAATTACTGGGCTACAGAACTGGAGTGCAGAGCATTAGTCTGGGCCTTAACGAAGTTACCCCACTTCTTTGATTCACAATTTCACATGAAGGCCTTCCTGAAGATCTTGGGATTCCACGTTCTGACACACGTCATGGCTCCAGCCCCAAACCTATCTCCCTCTATCTCTAGATTGAGGTACGGGGGCTTGTGTTTAGCTGGATAGCAACGGTAGCTACCACGAGCATTCCTATTAATGAAGTGCGTCTTGAGTCATAGTTACTCCCGCCGTTTACCCGCGCTTGGTTGTACATCTATCATGGCCTGACACCGTGTTGCAAGGACATCCGACAGAATTTATATAGTCGACGCCAGTCCTATATACAGCTCTGTCGATATATCTAGCAATTATTCAACACCAGTGCAGTAGTATCGGCAAACCAGTTCCAGAGGTACGGAGGTTCCAATCTCGGCGATCTTCAGCGATTTCCGATCCGTTGTGGGAGGAAAATCCGACAAAAGCGGACCCAATCCTCCGGTACTCGTTCCTAGAGCGACCATGATGGGAAAGGAGACGGCATATGACTGCAATTTGGTGAGGCCGCTATCCTGAGGCAAGGAGCATATGCATGTTCTCCTTCAGTATTCTCTGTTAGAGCTCCTAGTGTTTCCTCCCAATCTCTTACACAACAACCTCACTCTTTGCTTTCATCGATATCTCCCTGTGACAATCCCCGTGCTCCCTTCCCAACCACTCAGAGAGTTTCTTGACGACCGCTTAGCAGATCGAAATCTCTGGCCGACGCTGAGCTCCCTTGTTCCCAAGGATTGCCGCTACGATGTTCCATGCCTCTTGTATACATGGCGGCACCTCTACAGAGATCGCTTGGACACTCTGCCTCAGACCAATTTGATATACCACCGTATTCAACTTACTCCTGGCGCCAAACCTCACTCCGTCCAGAGCCAGAAATGATGGTCACCCGACAAAGAGTTTTGGTTACACCGTCTAGTTTCTGAAGGAATTCAGGGCGGCATATATGAGCATACCTAACAGCCTGGGATTCCAACACTTAAACGAACATACCGCAACCTTCGACGGCATACGCATTCTCAAATTTGACTTCGCGCTGGCTATTAAAGTCAAATGCGCTTATCTCCGAGCAGAAGACGAGAATGGCACGGGAAAGAAGCGTTCAGATTTGAAAGATGCTCTGTTAGGCAACGAATGGGCGTCTTTCTCAGTGGAACGTACGAGCGGTGTTGGCTGACAAAGTTGAGAATCCGACGCCTGCTGATGAGCCATGTCTCACCTTCAACTATGCCGGAGTTCCCGTATACCACATTCCCCCTTGTCGCAGACTCTCATGGCGTTGCATGTAAATCGAGATCCTGGAGACTGGCGTGACGGAGACCCCGAGGGCAATCCCCTTCGCGGTGCCCTGAGGCGGACATCCGGATGCTCAGACATTCGCTCAGTGGAAGTTTCTGCGTCTTGTTTGGCACCAAACGCCATCTTCTATGCCGCCAGCGTTCGTCCGCCCTGCGATGCATGGGTGTATGTTCTTGTGAAACTGTGTCCTCCGCACCTCTCATCGTCCGCCATGATCCCAAACCATATGGTTAATTCGCGATGGCGTACCATACTCCCCGCTATATTGATCCGGTACAACCCGTTCGTCACTTTTCGCATGTCCTATGTGGCTCCTGCTGCGCTCGCTTGACGTTTGTGCCCCCCACGGTGCAACTGGCTTCACATTTGGTACCCATCCAGTACCAACGCATGCATTAAAGATATTTCGAGGCAGGCAGTGGTAGACAATAGCGTTTACGCGGGAGGAACGGCGACGGTGAACACAACACCACCACCAAGCTGCCTGGTAAGAATCTATATAATCCGTCCAAAGTGCACCGTCCAATGTGATTTGTTATTTATATGTTTTCATCAATTATTTAATGCAGATCAGCTATCTACGAAGGGTGAATACTTATTTTATTATATTAGCAATCATCCGTCTCGAGAATGTCATTCATATACAGCATATTTGTCTAACAGAAATCAGCCATCAGAAAATATATGTATCCTGTCGTTCGCTTTTTGCGTTTGTTGGGCATGCTGGGACGAGAGGTATCGAGCTGAGTATGTAGGGAGGTAGTTCTGGTAGTGCTATTGATCATGTATTCCAATTGCCTTTGTAGCCCATTATCTGAAATTATCAATCGAAGAAATGTGACTTGAACTATAACGCCCATCCATGAGAATCTGCATTTTGAAAGCACATGTGCAGTACAGTACACAATGCAAAAACAACCGAAAGAAAAAACTATGTCCAACCAGGACGCCCTCAAAACAGTCCATAGACAGTCCCTACATACATACATACGCATCGTCAAAAGCGCCAGAGAGTACAGTGGCCTCCTCAAAAAGCATTGTAAGTGTTGAAGGGTGAGTAAACTATGGCTCATTACTCGGATACCCGACCTTATACGTCGGGAAAAACTCCTCTTTGACAGACCGCAGGCTCACGAACCGCGCCAACAGGTTCGCGCTGCCGGCTTTATCGTTGGTGCCGCTGGCCCGCGACCCGCCAAACGGCTGCTGGCCGACGACGGCGCCGGTGCTCTTGCAGTTGATGTAGAAATTGCCGGCGGCGTTGCGCAGCGCGTCCTCGGCGAAGCGGATCGCAGCGCGGTCCTGCGCGAACACCGACCCCGTCAGCCCGTACTCGCTCGTCTGCTCGATCAGGGCGCAGACGTCGGCGAAGCCCGAGTCGGAGGCGTCGTCGTAGACGTACAGCGTCAGGATCGGGCCGAACAGCTCGCGCGAGAGCAGCGGGTGGTTCGGGTTCTGCGTCCGGTAGATGGTCGGCTGGATGAACCAGCCCTGCGACGAGTCGTAGCTACCGCCGGCCAGCAGCTCCAGCTCCGGGTCCTTCTTCGCGTCGTCGATGACCCGCGCCAGCTTGTTGAAGGCTGCCTCGTGGATGACGGGGCCGCAGAAGTTGGTGAAGTCGGACGGGTCGCCCACCTTGATCTGCTTCACCTCGTCCACGAGCTGCTTCTGGAACTCATCGGCCACAGACGCTGCGACGTAGACGCGAGAGGTGGCGCTGCATTTCTGGCCCTGGAATTCGAATGCGCCCCGGACAGTCTGCACCACGGCATTCCGGATGTCGGCGCTCTTGTGGATGAGGTGGAAGTTCTTGCCGCCTGTTTCGCCGACGATGCGCGGGTAGCTGCGGTACTTGCCCTCGGCCACGCCGCTGGCGATGCGGCCGTACAGCTCGCGGAACACGCTGGTGCTGCCGGTGAAGTGCAGAGCCGCGAATTCGGGGTGGTTCAGCACCGTCTTGGTCACGTCGACCGCGTCGCCGGGCACGAACTGGATGACGTTGGGGGGCAGGCCCGCCTCCAGCAGGATCTGGTGGACGAGATGGCCGGACGCGATGGCGGAGGGCGAGGGCTTCCAGATGACGACGTTGCCCACCAGGGCCGGGGCGCCCGCGAGGTTCCCTCCGATGGCGGTGAAGTTGAACGGGCTGATGGCGTAGACGAAGCCTTCGAGGGGGCGGTATTCCAGACGGCTGACCAGTCAGTCACAGTCCTGACACCTGAATTGAATACAATGGAAGTAACTTACTTCCAGACACCCGGGGAATGGTGTTCTGGCTGCTGCGCATACAGTTCTGCGGCATATTTCACGCCAAATCTGGGTTCGTTAGCACCTTGACAACACCAATGTCGACAGGGACGTGCCTGAAAAAGTCACACAGCTCGGCCGCCGCATCGATCTCGGCCTGCCAGGCATTCTTGCCCTGGCCAGCCATCGTCAGGGCCATGAGGTCGTAGCGATACTTGGTGGAGATCAGATCGGCCGCCTTAAGGAAGATGCTGGCGCGGTCTGCGAAGGGGGTTGCTGCCCACGATTTCCGCGCTGTCAGGGCAGCGTCGATCGCGGCCTTGACATCCTCCTTGGTCGCGTTGGAGTAGGTGGCCAGCGGACTGCGTGTAGACGGATTTGGTTGTGTCAAAGTGCCAGAGCTTTTGACCTGCGAAGCGTCAGACGGTCGATGTACAGAAGGTACTTCTTCATCGATGAACGCACCTCCTTCCCCCCAATCACCAAAGGAATGTTAAGCGGCGCTGCCTGCTTAACCCTGGCGAGGGCATCTTGCAGGCCTTTCCGGTCGGGCGATCCAGGCGCATAGTGTTTCTATCAGAGTCAACGCCACAGATGTCTAACAGTATTCAGGCAGTTAAATACTCACGTTCGGCTCATTGTTGACTGGAGGAATCCTGAAGCTGGCAAACGTGCCCATCCCCCGCACGCTGTGTGAGCGAGCAGCGAGCCTGAGGCTGCCAAACGGCCGCGATCGGGCAGCGACGGCCACTGTTGAATAGAAACCCATTTTATCTGCTGCAGCTGTTTATTCCAACCTCAATGCTGTACGAGAAACTTTCGAAGCTGCGTGGATGACCGAGTGACGGAGGCGGTGACGTTATACGTTATCAGTCTGTCCGTCCGGCTGGAAGTAATTAATCAATCGAAAGGCAAATAAAAAAAAAAAGGACACAGCCAGACCAGCCTTATGCGCGATCAGATCCAGGCCTGAGCTGTGATCAGCCAGCGATAAGCTGCAGAGCACATGTTCTCAGAGCTCTGCTTGCTATTAATTAAACTGATGTTGCACGGCGGGGGAAGCTTCCGGGCGGGACAGTCGACCGGGCCGGTTGCCGGGAATGAAGTCATCGCGATAAGCGATAACAATGATGATAAAACAGCACATTAATTATTCTTGGCTTCATCAACGTGCTTCCCCACAACTGGCTTTTGCGGGGATGAATCTGTTACCTAATGCAAAGAGCTTCACAGTCAGATACTCTGTTTGAAGCAATCTTCCATTCAGCCAGCCATCCCTAATCTATCCTTCTATATACTGTACGGAGTAGCCTCTAATCTAAGATACTCTTCATGGACCCTTTCTATACACAGACCCTTTCTATAATCTAAGCAAGCCAGAACCAGAACCTCTCCAGCCAGTTTCGAGGAACCCTCTCCTGGTCCTCCTCCGTCATCCGGTCAATCTCATCGACGCCGGACACCACATCGATCTCCGACACCTTCATCAGCCACGGCGTGCGGAACCAGAGCTTGTGCCCCAGATACAGGGCCAGGAAGATGGCGAAGACAATGTACGACACCAAAAACCCGGACGCGGTGAAGTTGCCGGGGAAGAAGACGGCGTAGCCGTTCGTCAGGGCGAGCAGCGACACGATCAGCAGCGCGTAGTACGTCGTGTACGGCTGCAGGGGCGTCTTGAATGGGAGCCTGCCCAGCATGCCGTTGAATTGCATGGCTCCGCGGAATCGCTATGTCAGTTAGCTTTGGGGGTCGTTCGAGGACTGTAGTATGGTCTCTGCACGCTACTTACCAAGTACGCGATCAGCAAGACAATCCACGAGATGAAGCCGCCTACAGTAGTGATGTTGGTAAACCAGTAGAACACGTTGGCGCCCGAACTCGACACGTTCAGATATGAGAGACATCCGATGGCAAAGGTGCACAGCACCGCCACGTACGGGATGCCCTTGCGATTGCACACGGCAAAGATCTTGGGCGCCTGGCCGGCACAGGCCAGCGAGTAGAGGGTCCGCGAGCCCGCAAACAGCCACGAATTGCCCGACGACCACGCCGATGTGAGGATCGCCGCGTTGATGACGTGGTTGAGACCCTTGATGCCGGCATTCTGGATGCCAATGACAAAGGGACTCGCGCCGGCGTTGGAGCTGCTATTCTGCACCCCCGACAGCAGGTTGGGGTCGTTGTACGCAACCGTGACGCCGATGACCAACGTGCCCAGGATGTAAAACGCCATCAGCCGGTAGATGAACCGCCTGGTGGCCTTGGGGATGTTGCGACGTGGCGAGGCCGCTTCTCCGGCGGCAGTCGTGATCAGCTCGGGGGAGAAGATAAAGGCAAAACCGGACTTGATGAACGCCGTCCAGAAGGCCAGAAAACGCCCCGTGTCGCCGTCAACCAAGTACGGCTTGAAGGCACCAGGATTGTTCCAGTACCGGAACCCCAACCGGTCGTGGTTAGGCCCGCCTCCGAAGAAAAGGACGATCCCCAGGATGATAAGGCCAATGATGGTGATGATCTTGATCGACGCGAACCAGAATTCCGCTTCGCCGAAGAAGGAGACCGCGATAATGTTGAGGATGAGGATCACTGTCGTTATCAGCATAGTCGTCTCAATCATCAAGGTCGACATACCAGCAAGAATGATGGTGATCCAGACCGCCACGGGCACCTCGGTCGTCCAATATTCGATCACGAGAGAGGCGGCGGTGACTTCGGAGGCGATCAACATGGAAAACGAGTACCTGACGCCGATTAGCTGGATGACCCCGATGCTGGCCAAATATTTTCTCCTACCAATAATTGTATCCTGCGGGACAGTCAGTCCAGGTAAACCAATGCAGTAATCAACTCCAAAGAAATATCTAGCTACCCACCCACTGCAAAGCCCAGGCTAGGCTCCGTAAAGCGGTTGACCAAGTACGGCACTGAGACCCCTTTCACGGGCATGTACGTGCTCATCTCGCCCAAGACATTCATGATGGCCCAAACGACGGTCGACATGGCCAGATATCCCATAAACAAGGGCGCTTTGAAGAGTCAGCACACAGATAGTCTAGCAGCTCTACAATCTGGACTGCTCACCAGGCCCAACCGTAGACAGCGTCGCTCCCGACCCGACGAAGAGGCCCGTCCCAATGCAACCTCCCAGGGCAAGGAACTGGATATGGCGACTGGTCAGGCCGCGATGGGTCTGGCCGGCATTCACGCCGTTGACCTCACCCTTCCACACAGGCGGATAGTCGGTCTGCTGGAGCTCGATCTTGGCCTCTTCCATGGCCTTTGGTGTTCCGCTGACGGTCATGGTGGACGCACGAAGAAAGGACGCGAACCCGAGAGGGGCTGGTTTCTGGACGAATTCCAGAGTGCGAGCATGATGATTTATTTAAATGTGCAACCTGCTGCTGCGGGGGGCGGGTTTGTGGAGAAGGGCCAGCTGTGGGTATTGCGATAGGGAATAATACGGAGTTTGGCCCTGCGAAATTTTTCTCCACGCTCCCTCTTCCGTTTGCAGAATAAGGTTGCGTAGCCAGGAGAAGGATCGAAGGTTGAAGCCGTTGTTTCTGCGCCGGTGATAGCCGCTAAGAATAGCTCGGACACGCGGGGAATGATTATCCAGTCAATCTCTGCCGATCGACAGCACAGCGACCGGCTCGGGATCCGGTGGCCCGGTGGTTCTGGTTCACCGGGCTTCCTGTCGAAATCAGACTGAGATAGCCGAAATAATCCTCACTTATCCGATATCAGCAGCAGCAGCAGCAGCAGTATTGCCGAAATTCGTGCTGCGAGATCCGCTGTGAGATCTGCGAGGTTCCTGGACGACAGTTGTCTTATCACATGACATGGCTGACATGATTGGTGCTTTGAGCTGATTATATATATTCATCGTGTAAAAATATAACTCGCTATCATGTCTGATATGTCCTGCTGATGAATAATATCCCATGCAGCACAATGTACAGCATCATGACAAATTTGTAAAAATCAAAAAAAAAAAGACACAACAATAATGGTATAATAACAATGGTATCTCTAATACAGTAACCAAATCCAACCAACAAAAGCATCTCAGTACACGAACCAAACTCCATCCATGCGATAGTATACCATGTCAATCCGTCATAAATGGCATCCACCTCCCATCATTACTCTCCCCCTGTCCGCCGTCCACCTCCCCGCTGACGCCGTGCGACACCTCGGCGTCAAAACACGGGATGGCGGCAAATTCGTCCAGCTCCTGCGGGAAGTTCGAGATAAACCCGTCAAACCCGAAATGCGGTGGTTGGGCTGCGGATCCTGCCGGTGAATGGCCAAAGTCCACCTGTGGCATCGGAGCACCTGTGCTGCTAGTGCTGCCGACCTGGGCTGTGGTGGTGTCGTTCTGGCTGTGCGGTTCTGGTCCATTACTGCTGCTGTTGCTGCTGTTGCCAACATCCATTGGAGCAGCGGCAGCCGCTGAGGACAGTGAAGGCGGTGGCGCAGCACCGCCCGATGTTCTTGGAATCTGGCCGGCGATGTTGGTCGTCGTCGCCGTTGCTGTTGTCGCGCTTGTGGCGGGCGAAATCGGCCCCGTCTTCCACAACATCTCCCAGTTCTTGAACCGCTCATAGCCAGAGTCGACCACGTCCTGGCGATTCTGGGCCTGCGATTCACTCCAGTCGTCCAGGCGACGGATCGCACGCTCCAGCGCCTCAATCACATTGACCGCCGACCGTGCCGATCCCACCCCCATCGACATGATCTTGATCAATCCCATCCCTTGTGATAGAGCATTCCGGAGACGCTCCGTCCGCTTTGTTAAACTCTGCGCGAGGATGACAAGGAGTGCGGCCCGACAGGAGCTGAACTCGGTATAAGACGCCCGAGCAAGACCCGTCTCGTCCCGCAGCAGTCGACACAGATCGACAATCTCGAGCGCCGCTTCGACGCAGTCCGTGACCAAGACTGAACGAGTCTTGGATCGGCTATTAACCGAAGCCTGGGACGTGCCACCGGATGACGCCGGATTAATACCCTTCACGTTGCTGAAGAGGAACGGCCGTCCAATAAAGATTCGGGTCAGGCAGTAGTCGAGCTTGAGATGGACGTTGGATCGAAAGAGTCCGCCGGCCGGATTCAAGTCACGACAGTACGTCTCTTCCGGCAACGTGGCCCACCATTCGATGAGTTGTTTCCGCTGCGTGAGCAATTTCTCCAGACACCCCGGTTGCTGCCATTTCCGGCATTTTCGCAATGAAGATCTGTCAACCCGTCAGCTGAACGCTCTAGGAATTGATTCGGTGGGACTAACATCTCGTTGGCAATTTCTCCGAGCTTCAGCGTCAACGTGATCAGGGCCACCATGTTAGTGAAGTTGGACACTTGAGTCTGCGGTCGTAGGCTGGGCAGGTCGACCGGCAAATCCGCATCCACGTCAGCATCGGTGATCGACGCCGGCCTGCCATGTAGAATACTGATACGTCTGTATCGGTTAGTCAGGCCCTAGCGAAAAATAAGAGCAAGTAAGTGGCCTACTTTTCAAGCGTGTAAGCGGTCCAGAAAACTCGGTTTCGGACTTCGAGCATGTGCGGGTCCAGATCTTCTCCAGAGTATTTCCGGTGCATGCCGTTCTGAATGGCCAGCTTGAGCGCAAGGCCGAAATAGGTGTAAGAAAGCCCCGACGTATCCAGCGGGAGGAGGTACGTTCCCATCAGCAGACAGGCCTGGACACTTCGGACGGAGGCGGTGGCGATTATGTCCGGTAGCAGCTTGGATGCGAAGTTGTAGAAGGTCAGGCCCACCTCATCTTCTGAAAAGCGGTGGTCGTCTGCGGAAGATCCGGGCGTGAGCTTGTTGACGGGGGTGGGAGAATCCATATGGGCGAACTGCGTGCCAATTGCCAGAACCATCAAAATGGCGCACACGGCTGGCGCGTCGCTAGAGGTGAGACTGGCGGGATTGTTGTAGCAAGTGCTGAGCTTCTCGCGTAGCCAGTCCTCTTCCACGTAGAAGTTATTGGTCTGCGCATACTTGTAAAACGTCTGGAGCAGAAAGTCGGCCACGTAGCGAGGCGGCAGGCATGAGATAGCTGCTGACACTAGAGCGGTGCCCGACTGGAGCTGAGTAGCACGCCAACGTTCTTCGAATGGCACTGACTCTGGGGGATCCTGAGAAATGTTAATACCGAATTTGATAAAGAACGGAAGGCAGAGTACCTCCTGAGCCGCATTTTTCATCCATTCATCAATCTTTCGTCGTATCTTCATGGAAAAGTTCAGATAGGAGAATTCTCCCGAATACTCTGAAAATCAATCATCAGCATACTCACTCGTGAATCAAACTCTGGACCTTACGCATCGTGTTGTCGGGCAGCGCGCGAATGGTAAAATCCTCGTCTTCGATGGCCAGATCGTCGAGGTCATCGACCTCGACTTGTGTCGGAGGGCCGTCCGAGTCGGATTGATCCCGGTGTTTCTTCTGCAGGTCCTCGGCGGTTTTGCGCAGGGACGGCAGGTCAAACGAGATATTGGGCACGAAGTGTGCCAAGATGCGTTCCATATATCGCACACGCTCTGCCTCCGCGTCATCATCGCGACTGAAGCTGGCGGTGCGTTCGGAGATCCTATTTCTGGAATCAGCATGACCAGATAATCCTCCAGGTAGAGCGTGTGTTGCCTACCTGTCGAGAGATCTGGAGACCTTCTCTCCCTGGTCCGGAGGCGTGTTGAAGACGCATTGGCGCTGATAACGGAGACATCGCCGACAAGGCACGCCGCCTTCGCACTTCTCCTTGACTCTCCGACATCCATCGCATCTATTGCAGTCAATACATCACCAATTGACACTTTTTTCAATGTTTAATCGCGGCTTGACTTACGCTCTCACCGCTCTCTTCCGGTTCTCCTCGGCGACACGGGGCCGCTTCGACCGGGGCGGATTGGGATGCGGAGCTTCCATGGACCGCTTGACAGCAATCACGTCGTCGGTGGCAACCCCAACACCCCAGTCACCGACATCAGAATGCATTTAATCGAGCATGGGGTCAGGATTGCGAGAGCGTGTTGTGAGGTAGGTTCGCAGATGAAAAACGGCCATGACTGGCCGACCGCAGATAAGGCCGGCACCCCGCACTCCGCCCCCACCAGCCAATCAGCGGGCGCCGTGGAGGATCAGCAGGCAAGACGGCAGTTCTATATATACAACCCTGTCCTATGACTATGATCTTGATAGCTGTAGGGATGGCAGATCCGTACGGACTAGATGATGTTTTTGTCAGCGAAACAGGTAACCAGTCTGACATTGTCCAATTGTCGACAAGCTGATAGATCGGCAGATAAGCACCTATAGACGACGCTCTGTATACGCCAATGGCAGCCAATTGATAATATCTGATATACTATGAGTTTAGTTTTTTTTTCTTTTCCAGGATCTCTCAGGCACGAGGGAAAAGTCTTGGAGAAATGTTTCATAGCGGATTTATTTTTTTCGTTTTGACTCTGATTTAGTTGGGCGGCGCTCAGACTTTAAACGGGGGATACTCCGTACTCCACAGCATGCTATTATTATCCTGGGGGCCAAATCGAGGCACTATGCAACAGTATGCTGCAGATCATAAGCGCTACCTGATCCTGCAGAATATTTTCGGCATGCTAACGACACATTGATCGTCCTGCTAAACTAGGGGTAGACCGGCAGACAGCCCAGATAGATCTCACGACAATGGGTGTGCTGGTATTAATAATGCAACGCACAACGTGATCTGCTATCAAATCTTCTACCCTAGGCAATTAGCTTGGAAATAAAATAGAAATCGAGAATTGAATTCCACTGCCGCATGCTGCATGCTCAGATGATGGCGACACTGATAGCAGGTGAATGAGAAGTAGACTGCATTCCTTGACAGCATGAGCTGGATATTATCGTAAATCCGAAGACTGCTCCTGCAGCTACTGGGACGATAGCTACTACGAGTACAAGCAAATTAGATTCCAGAAGATAAGTCGAATCACTCCATCTCACCCTTAAATCAAAGCAAAAGATTAGGTGAACGAAAAAAAAAAGAAAGAAAAGAAAAGAAAAAGGACAGCCATCGGCGTTGAATTATTGTCGTTAAAAATTTCAGAGTGCAGAACTATAAATAAACCGGCTTTCTCAGCTTTAAAAAAATTCTTTTTAAAAAGAATTGGGCTCAACCGGGATTCGAACCCGGGGCCTCATCCATTCTCTCAGCCACTGGTGAGACTGGGGAAAATCTGTTTTCCCGAAGGATGAATCATACCAACTAGACCATTGAGCCGCTTATTTTGCTGAAGTCTTCGCAGTCGTGCCCCAAGAGAGGAAAGCTGTGCCACAATAAAATTGCATCTGGATAGCTCAGACTGTCAATAAAACACTGCATTGGAAAGTGAGTTAGTCTATCCTTGGCTCAATGACATGTGCACAGTTCAAATGACCTGCCAAATTACATATTCGCTGTGTAATGACCAACTTCCCTCCACACATGCCCCTCCCCACCTTTGATGGGTGAGTTTAGTACTGTGTTGCTAGCACACTTGTGGTAAATATATATATATGTAAGGTACAGTACCTGAGTACCTGGATTCAGACCTCCTCTCTTGTTCACATGACCTTTGACCAGCATGTACTGTATGTATAGTATACAGATCTGTCTGCAATGTATATTACAGCATAGTAGTAAAATGCAAGGAGCAATGCACTGCACAGCAATGCAATGCCATGCACAACACAACTCAATTGGTATATGATATATTTTACACCCTACATCTACGTCTGCAAATCTGCTCACCAGTACCCGATTTATCGCATCCATAACAAGAAAAACCTACTCGTACAATTATATGCATCTGTTCTTCCTTCTTCCAAAACGTTTCCTTTCCGCAATGCTGGGACTAGGAAGTGAGATATCCCAGAATCTATGGTTTCTTGGCGACTAGTCTCACTGGTGTATTACCGGCCACTGTATACATGCAGGATGAGGTTTAGTGGATTGTATCGGAATCCAGGGAACTACCGAAGAAAATCCATGGGAATGAGGAGCAACCTGATATACATGATGCCTCAAGCTTAGAATTGCTTACAAAGCGATTCGTGAATCACCTGCCACCGCTATGTAATGTAGTTAGAGAGCTCTGCTCAATTCAATGGGGTGTATGCTGTGCATAAGCTGATCGGAAAGGGAAAAAAAAAGGCAAATAATCAGCAACTTGCTGGCATCACCTGCCACCTTTTTGGACAACATTGCTGATTTCCTCATCAGCCCCGGCCTCTGATCATAACAACTTAGGATATCTTGCCCTTGACCAACGATGAAAGCTGAATGAGCGGTCTCCAGAAGGCAGCCATAGCAGCTGATCTTGGCTGCAGCCTGCTGCACTGCTGCTGTATTACTACATGTATGTACACTTCTGCAAGCTACCTTATCTCTGGTAGTCCCTTGCTCCTGCTTGCTGCACTACATACATGCATAGGTCATGTGGTATGTCAAAGCAGCCATGTACTATTTATTTATTACTGCCTGCGCAGGACTTAATTTAACCAGTTGCGAATCACAACTATATAAGGCAGTGATGTACATGTACTGTACATCGATAGGTTACATAGGTAGGTTAGATACATTACCTACTCCGTAACTACCTAACTAACGAAACCCGACGACCGGTTGACCACAGGGAGAACCATCATCCTTTGTTTGCGATGAAGAAAATAAAATCCTCGGAAAAACCAAAACCATCCCCACTGAACGAACATGTGTAACGTGATTGATCGATTCTGGCGGATAAAGAAAGAAAGAACGAAAACAAAAAAAGGAAAGGGATGCAACAAACAGACTGGGGCTCTAGCACTGTTGGAATATATCACCCCTGCTTGTTCATTCTTATACTGTATTCATTTACTACTGTATTCATTCATTTATGCATTGTTCTATTCACTTTTCTTTTTACAGTCTCACTGCATACACTACACTTGATCACTCAATGAGTCAATCAACAACCACATTTCGATGTTGACTGCAGGTCAGATCTCCCTAATCTAATCTAATCTAATCAAATATAATTAATCTGTCAGATCAAGCATATCGGAGATTTGTTAATATGGACATCCTGGGGCAAACATGGGCCGAGTTCTGTCTCCGCCATCCACCCGGCGTCATCGAGATCCTCGTGTCCGTCGCCGCGCAGGTCGTCGGCTTGCTTTTCCCCGCATTCGTCTATCAGATGATCGACGTTTTCTGGCCGGCGTGGTCTGCGAAACGCAAACTGCAACCCCCCGAGCAGCAGCCCTCGTCGTGGGACGTGCTCGACTGCGTCATTGTCGTTGCCGTCAACCATGTCTTCCTCGTCTGCTCGCAGGTGACGCTGCTGGCGCTGCTGGGCGGGTACGGGTTCGAGCGCACCATGTTCGTCGTCAGTCCCATACTACCAGCGCCTAGCGAGGTCGTGCTGCACTGCCTCCTGGGCGCGCTCCTCCGCGAAGTCCTCTTCTATTACGCCCATCGCGCGCTGCACCACCCGGTGCTCTACCGGCTCATCCACCGCCAACACCACCGGTTCACGGCGCCCGTGGCCCTGAGCACCGTGTACTCGCACGCCGTGGACCATGTGCTCGAGAACGCGCTGCCCATTGCCCTGCCGATGATGGCGCTGCGCGCGCACGTGCTCACCGTCTTCGTCTTCGCGGTGCTCGTCCTCTGGGACGCGGCGCTGGCGCACAGCGGGTACGATTTTTTCCGCGTCCCCAGCGTTGAGATGCATGATCGTCATCATCGCGATATGCGTGTGGGTTATGGCATTTTGGGCGTCATGGACTGGTTGCATGGGACGGATAAAATAAGGAGAAAAGCAGAGGGTGATGCGGGGGCTGGGTGTACTGTGATGGCTGAAAAGGAGGAGAGGGGGCAATGATATGCAGTATATGAAGGAAGGAAACATGACACCGAACGGAGGGAAGGGATTTTTATTTGAAAGAACAAATTTGATACCTTGTACTTTTTGTTCTTTTCTTCTTCTTCTTCTTCTTCTTTTTTTCAGAACTCAACCCGCGTGCCAATCCCCAGCTCACCTGCCATACTCAGCAGCGTCTTAGCAACGACCAAGTCCATAATGCCCATACCAACACACTTGAAGACCACATTCTCGCCCGGAGAGGGCGTCACAGTCACAGTCTTTCCTCCCGCGAAAAGCTCGCCAATCTCGACGAGCTGCTCCTCTCTGACGCCAGCCCGGATCAGCTCGCCGGATTCCTCCAGACACGCTTCCTTGGAGTCGACATAGACCCTGCCCCCACCCGACAGCAGCGTCTCCGTGTCGACCTCCTGCATGTGCGGCTTGTACGAGCCGATCAGGGAGATAAATCTCTGTCTGCCAGTAGTCTGCAGATAGACGTACGGAAAGAGGGGTTCCGTAGACGGGGTGCAGCAGAAGAGGACGTCACTGGACGCGAGCAACGAGCGGAGATGCGTGTCGTAATCCGGGGTGTCTTCTTTGGCGAGCACCCTCATGGTGATTTTCGGATAGCGCTGTCGCAGTTCGGGGAGCACCTCGTGCTCAATCTTCTCCAGTCTCTTCCGGCCCCGGTTGACGAACGTGATGGTCTCGATCTCGTCGGGCACGAGCAGCAGCGCGAGTCGCGCGTGCCATTCAGCCTGTCGACCAGAGCCGAAGATCAGGATGTGTCTTTTGGGGAGAGACACGCAGCGCGTGAAGAGGGTCATCGTGGCCAGGGCGGTTCGAAACGCCGTGACTTCGGCAGCGCTGAGCACGCCCATGAGCTTGCCCTGCGGGGAGAGGACGTTGATGACGCCTTGCACGCCGCCGCCCTGTGCCGGGATGGCGACTATCTTGATCCCCGTCGTGCTCGTGTCCGACACGGGCATGAACAGGGCCGTGTCCCCGTCTCTGGTGACGATGTGGCTCCGCAGTGGCTGGTGGATCAGCTTTTCCGCTGCGGACACTGTCTGGGCAGAGAAGGTGCCCAGTGCATCGGACAGGGCGTGGAGCAGCTGCTGGCATTGCTCGGTTGTCAGACGGCGCAGCAGGTGGGCGAGTTCTTTCTCTGGAAGCAGCAGCATGGTGGGGAATATCCTGCAGTGTATACAACCGTCCACGTCGATGTAGATGTCGCTATGGAATTCACCCTTAGTTTGGTTGAGATTGCCTAGTAATCAGTTAGATTAAAGAAGAAAAAAAGGCCAGTGCAATTCTCGCGAAGAAATAACTTAAGAAGTTCAATCTGCAGGAAGAAGACGCAAGTCATGTGGAATGATGACTGCCCCACTCTCCACACGTCGGAGATGCCCCGAGCCATCTTATCTTATCAGGGAGTATACAGACTACATGACTGCCAGAGAATATTCAAATAGTGTTAACGAATCTATCAATCCTAATTAATCACACTGGTATCTAGGCCATGTACGAGCATCTATTTACAGTGCCATGTAAACAATAAACACCGCCCGCTAAACTAAGAATACGCTAGAAAACACCCAAGGCAAAATAAAAAAAAACAACCCCCCAGAAACTGAACATCATCACGTCGCATCGTCATGCATGCGTCTATCATTGAGTCAAGTCAACTCAACCTAAGCGCCTTCTTAATCCGTCTCTTCAGCTCCGCGGCCATCGCCTGCTGCGACTGCTTCGTCCGACCAACCGCTTCCGTGTTCTCCACCGCGCGGCGCATCAGGAAGCCCATGCACTCCTTGACCGTGCCCCAGGTCAGGAGCTTGTAGACGTTGGGCGACTCTAGAGCGGCAGCACCGTCCTGTCGGTCCTGGAACCCGTGGACGAGCTCAAAGCTGACCTCGTCGGCCATGCCCTGCAGCTGCGCATAGGCCAGTTCGACGCGGGGCTCGCCCTTGGCGGCCTGCTGCGAGCGCAGCGCGTGTGCCTTCTGCACCGACTCGCGGTTGTGCGTGGCGATGATGACGCTGACCGGTGGCAACTGGTGGGCTGATGCGTCCGAGGAGGCAGGGGCCAGCATGGCGTTGTATCGTCGCGTCAGCAGCGCCTCAACGATCTCGTCGTAGCAGCGGTCCGTCTCCTCTTTGGTTGCCCAGATCAGGTGTCGAGGCTCTGTCTTCAGATACGCCCCGCGCACGAGCTTGACGCCCAGCGGGTACCCTTCCTGTCGAGCGATGTCCAGGTGCTTGGCCAGCGTCGAGGGCGTCGAGCGGAGATATGCCTGGTAGGTGCCATACATCGTCGCACGGTTGGGCGTCTTGCTGTTGCAGTACTTCTGGTACTTCATCGTCCAGGCCTCGATGCCTGGCTGCACCGCCTGCTCTTCGGCGTCGACGAGGAGACGGGCGCCTTTCGCCATCGCAGCATCACAAGCCTTGCGGATGGCAGCGTCCATGAAATCGGTTGGCGGCAATCGTTGCTGGAGAAGGTGTGACGCCTGGGTGCCCATACCAGTCAACCTGGAAGAGTGTGCCGTTAGCAACCCACGTTGGAAACTCCGGAACCCGACCAGTGGGACATTGGCAATCCTTACTTCAACGCGACAATGTCGCTTTCAGTGGCCATGTCGACCGTCTGCAATGTTCCCTGCAACCACGTCTCCACTTCCTCGCGCGCAGCCTTCTCATCCTGCGAACTCGTGGTGCTGTCCCCGACCAGGACCTCTCGCGCGTATCCCAGCAGAACACCGCGATAGCCAAGCTGCTTGATCTCCTCAATCGAGCGCTGCACTTCGCGCTTGTTCTCGCCGGCATTGAACTGCTTGTAGAGGGTGTGCTTGATCAGCCAGTTGAGCACGGCGTTCCGGGAGACATCGGTGAGGGGCGTGCGGGGATGGGCCAGCGCGGACAGGGCGTAGATGCACGGCCGGAGGAGCAGCGGGGACGAGGAGATGGATAAGATAAGCAAGGAGCGCAGCACGTTCGACAGAGGGAGCTGTGCCAGCGGCGACTCGGGCCTGGGACTGTGCGGCAGGCGGTATTGCATCACATTGCTAGCGGCGGCGGTGGATGACGCATCCGCCATGGACGATTTGGCATTGTTGGTGGTGCTTACGTATCGATATCGACCATGCGGTAACGACGAGGCCAGCTGTCTGGAAAGCGACCGCAGAGCACGCCCCGGGATCATGGTGCAAGAAGAATCTACCTAGGGATATTCATCGAGAAGCCGGGGAGGAGAGAAAGGGACCAGCTGGGCAACCATAAATAGATCGCCTCGCGCAATGTCCGGGACGAGGATAAGCTCCCGCCGGGCTGAATGCAGCCGCCACCGGTACGGGAGCATCCATCGATCCAGAATGATCTGGCGATGATGCATGTTCTAGAAGGCGCAGGCGGCCCAATCACTGTCCAGCTGGATTGGCCACCACTATCTGTCAATTACCTTCCTTGTCATAAGACTCTGATCTTATTTATCGTGCTGATCCATCCTTGTCTAATGATCGACAAGATCGATCTTGCACGATCTGATAGAACTGATATCGTATCCTCGACTGCAAGACTGCAACACTGACGTCTAACCGGAGATTCGACCGGCACGGCTATCGTCGGCGACCGGATGCGCACCTGACTCGGGCCGGTCGCAAAGCCACCATCCCGATTGGTCCGTTCGCGCACCGCCAACTGGCGGACGTGGCACCAGTCACCTGCGAACCCTAGCCCTAATCACTTGACACCTGTTGGTTATAGCATTAATATACGACACCTTCACTGGTAGTATCATCTTAAGCATTCATTAAATCTGTCATTCACATGATCCAGTCAACAGTCGCGTAGGGAATAGTAGTCTTCGAGATCATTCACCTAACAGGATGCAGCGTGAATCACCAAGAGACCTCTCGAGTGAAGGAGAATGTCAGACTCCCTACTTAAGACTGCGCTGCGCTCTGTAGTCCATCCTACTTCCTTCCACATTTCCTGTATCCCCACACACTTCCTGGTATCAGTTGCGGCAGCGTCTCTACTTCCATCTCAGACGAACTTTCTTCCACTAAAAGTGCCATCAATCGAGACCTAGCTGTATAGTCAAGACAAAACAATGACCATCCAACTCCCATGTCGAGCATCCTTCTCTCAAGGACCTGGCTAAACAACTTGGCATTGGGTTCATATTGTGCTGAATAGTCCTCTCCGCTTCGATCGAGCAGTATCCTCCCAGAACATCTGAAGGAGGATCTCCATCGCTCCTGCCACCCGAACAAAACGACATCCATACTTCACCTTGATGCGTGCTATCTTGCTTCTCTCGTGCCAATTTCGCCATATTCGTACGTTACGCCTCATAAGGTACAACAGTTGGTAGCATGTCATTCTACTCAATCAGCTCCAAGAACAGCGCGGACGCGGTGTCGATTCTGTCAGAGACCTCCTCCCCCTCACAGAACACTTGAATCGAGCTGCAAAAAGTCACGCCATGAGGCAATTCCACCAAAATGAAGAACGAGTCGGCCAGGGCTCAGGAGACCTTCGATTGTCTGAAATCTTAGTTCTCGTCTGAAATTGGCCAATTTCTGCCATCTAAAGTGTCGAGAAAGACGCATTCCTGAGCACACGAGCCTCCATATCTCCGGCTCCTGCCCTGTGGAAATGCCATCACCAACGCACGTCGAAGGAATGGTTTCACACGCAGCTTGATCGACTAAGAAGACTTCTGCTATGCTCTCTATTGGCTGCTCATGCATGCATTCAGCTAGATGCACACTTAAAGCATGGGGCAGTGTCATTATTGTGTGCTTCTCATTCCTGAAAAAAAAATCCATCCATGTGGGACGGCTTAGTGCTGCATCTCTCTCAGGTGGTCGAAACAGCTGAGACCCGTCCTGTCGAGCAAACGCCATATTTTGGATCTCCATGGTCGATACAAATCAGTTGCCGAGTTACACCGTCAGTGCACAACCAGACATCAGGCAGGCGTGCGAAGTATACAGAGGATTAAGCTGAGTCGGTCCAATTTTGAATCGTGTCTGGACAACCCTAATTCAGGAGGATGGGCAATCTCGGTCAAGCACCAAGCCCCATCATCTTTTGTGACCAGATCCAGCAAGCAGCATAGGATCTCGACGCCATTGCCATCAGTGTACGCAAACTGGTGAAAGGAACGGGCATGACAATGGCATAAGGATAATATACATGTTGTATTCATGCATAATAATTATGCAATCAAACAACATGGCCGCGGGCGCCGAAGCCATCAATGCGTTCTCGAGGTGGCCCGCCGCCACGACGGAAGCGACATGGCCTGCATGCTTTTGCGTCTGATTTGCGGTCTCTTGTTTCTCGCTGTTTTGGTCCCCAGTGGCCATCATTGTGGCGAACCACTTGTGAGTTTGACATGGGGCAGCGTTTATATCAAGATCACTCGAAAGCCCGGAGCAGAAGGATATACCTTACCGCACACGACTAAGCTTTCTCCGCTAGTCGCAGGGCCATACCTAATTGTTGAGCCCGTGGGCGACCTGGCGTACTGCCTGGATATTCCCCCATCGTGGCGAATTCATCCAGTCGTTTCAGTTGCTCATTCTCGAGCAACACTTTGACGACTCATACCATCGCAGAATGCTAACGCCACCACCAGTCAAAGTCAAAGGGCAGGACGAGTACCCGATCGAAAGGATCCTCGATCAACGCGCGCAACATTGTCTAGTGCGATTTCAGAAAACAGGCGAGGAGCTCTGGATACCAATCACCCAGCTGCAGGAAGACGTCCCTGACCTGCTACGTCAATTCCAAGCCAAACGGCGCCAACAGCGCCACCAACGTCGAACTTGATCACTTGATCAAAGCTCACCCTGTCCTCACCACCTGCAAACCATCTCAACTTGCACTCATCGCTTGCCAATCAAGCTCCACCATCCATATGTTATATATCATAGGAAATATCTGTGGTTGACAATGTTGCAGGACGGGCAACAGGCCCCAGGAGGCCACCGCTTCCCCTTCCCCTGAGCCTGAGTCTAAGCCAGCCTCTACGCCATCAGTCTCCAGGGAGGATAGGCCCGGGGGGGGAGGGGATGCGATGGTCCCTTAGGCGATCTATGAAAAGCAGATCAAAAAGAGGATGCCAAGCTTCGGAATCCGAAATGACAGCCCCAGCCCCAGTAATAAAGTCTGATTGATTGGTCTGTTCCCATCCTGTACAGTACAGTACTTTCTGACAGTGCGAACAAAACGGATTTTTATTGTTTTATTATAAGAGTAGATAGATAGATGTACAGACAAAATACGGAGTTTGCACTGCACTGGGTAGTCGTTCGATTGGCCCAACGAACCATGGACAACTAACTGTATTCGAGGCGAGGCCGTAGAGAAAAAAAAAAAGTTCCCCCCTACCGCCTCTCAGCAAGCAGAGCATCTTTCGTCAGAACCATCTGCAACAGCATAGCATTCAGATCGCACGGCACGCCGAGCTCCTTCGCCCGCTTGACCAGGTATCCGTTGATGTACTCAATCTCCGTCTTCTTCCCCGCCCGGATATCCTGACACATCGAAGAGATATTGTGCTGCACCTGGGGCAGATACGCCAGGAGCCGCTCCTCGAGCGCCTGGGTGGCGAATCTCTCCTGCGCGCCGGGGACGCCTTGCAGTTCCGGTAGAGCCCTGATGATGCGTGCGCATTCCGCGATCAACGACCGAATCACGGGCTGCATCTCTGCCTGAACGAGGATGTGATTGTTCTCGTTTAGGATGGCTGTAAGCGGATTGGCGATGCAGTTGGCGACCAGCTTCTCCAGCTGCCGCTGTAAGAGGTCCGTGTATTCAACCTCCTTTGCGCCAAGGACCTCAGCCTGGGTCAGGGTTCGGCTCAGGTATCGCGAACTCTCAACGACGTCGTTCTTGTCGCTACGTGGGAGGATGCCCAGAAAAATGGCGCCCGGAGATGCTTGCCGGACAACAAATGGCTCTATGGTCCAAGCTCCGGTTAAGACAATCCCCTGCATGAACCGAGGCCGCGTGTCCAGGGTCGGAAACAATTTCTCAGCCGCCTCGTCCGAACTGCCCAGTCCGTTTTGCAGGAACAGAATCGTGCTGTCTGGGCCCAGCCGGTCTTTGATCGGTCTCAAGGCGCTGACTGTCTGTGCTGCTTTGACGGAGACGATGAGATGGTCGATTTTGTCGTTCCCAGCTGAAGCGGCGTTCTCCGATGGCTGTTGCTCAACCAGCTCGACATCTATACCGCCCCGAGGCTGCGACGCACCGTCTTCGTACCGCAGCACATCGAGCTTCTCTCCTCTTTTTCCTCCAGGCATCGAGGAGGCTCTTTCTGTGGAGGAGCAATGTGAGTCGGGGCCGAATCGGGTCCGGCAAACCGGCCAGGGCGTGCGCAACCGTGGCTCCGATATTGCCTGTTCCCAGGACATGAATCCGCCGCGGGGAAGACTCTTCAGTTGTTGTACTCGACCTCATGGTCGAATAGCTCATGGTTGCGACTCTGGCTCTGACATGGAGACACGGAGCGCGACGCGTAAACAGAGAAGAGAGGCGCGGAGATAAAATCATCTCGCTCTACTCTGGCAACCCTGGCGGACTTCCGCTTCGAACAGAGAGCTACACCCTCCCACGAGGAGCGCAATGGAAAATCACGATAAGGGGTGCCGCATTCCGGATCACGTGACGGCATGTGCGGATCGACGTTGGTGACGCTAATTGAGTTGGCGACGTGGAGTTGTTGCTGATATCCGCTTTGCTTCCACTTGTGGACAGCACAAATTGTGTCTATATACTGCACAAAGGATGCCGGCATCTCGAAGTCCTGACAAAGAAGCCGACTTAGCCAGCGGTGCAAAGCAGAAATGAAGCCTTGACAAGTCTGAGGAGCAAAGAAGACAGCTAAGCACCCTAGCTCAGAGGGAATTTGCGACTTGCCCGTTTTGGCGACGAGGCGCAAGTCGGTCGTTCTTTCTCGTTATGTAAGCACAGCTCGTTTCCCAAAGCGGAAGGAGGTGAGGGAGACAGCTGTCAACCGCGGCAAGTGCCCCGTTGGTCGACCCCGCAGCCATCCAATGAGAAACACCCGCCTTTGCACGTCAACGGCCCGGCCGTCCAGTAGATCTGCACGTCGCGGCCTCTGAATGTAGGGATACACACTGTAATTTCGATTTCATGAAAAACAGCCTTTTTTTTTCAGTAATTGAGGGGAAAAAAAGGACTTTATATGCAAATACCTTTGGTGCTTTAGCGCTAAATGTGGAGAAAATTTTCAGTATTTTGACCTAATATTTGCTTGAAAAGAGCTTGTAAAGCTTGTACTGACTACCTAATCATATCACGTGCTGTAATTTCTTTTTTCAAAAATGGCCTGAAGTTCACTGTAATCACATTTCAGGCCAAAAAATTGAAAATTCTCCATCCCTAATTCAAAGAAACCATCTATAAATATCCTCTACTGTCCGTATATAATCCGTGCAGGGCCCTCTATCTACATACTAGTCTACATACACGCAATACCTCAACCGATTCCATGCTACTCATGGTAGACTACCACACATATTTGTCTAAACCCTACGCATTGATTACCGGAAGATTACGCTCCAGATAGCCGCGCCATCTGGGCAGCGATCGCCGGTAGATTGTGCCAGACCGCATCTGCAGATCCTCAATCGCACTCGCGTACCGGATCAGCTTCGCCTCAGAGAAGGCCGTGTTCATGATGGCAAGCCCAAATGGCAAGCCCGATTCTTTGTTGACGCCCGCTGGCACCGTGATGACCGGGTAGCCTGCCTGGGCGGCGATCTGGTAGGATTGGCCCACGTCTGGAGGCACGAGGAGGCCGTCCAGGGTGATGGTGGTGCTGCTGCCATTGTTATACCGCAGAGCTGCGTCGATGCCCTCTTCTCGGGAGGTGCGCTGGCAGAAGGCGAGTGCCTGCCAGTACGTCTCGTCCATCACGCCTTTCGTCTCCAGCGAGGCGAGGAAGCCGTCTTGCCCCGAAGCAAACGCCGGGTGGATGCCAGGCAGCCCTCCCTCCGTTCCCACGTTGTCGATGTTGTACTGGACGAGGTCTTCCAGCGAGCGTATGTTAGTATTCTCCAGCTCCGCGAGGTACGTCTTGATGTTGTTGTAAAAGTCCACCTTGACGACAGTATACTCTGACTCGTTGGGAAACCCGCGGGTGGTTCCGTAGTCCCAGTTCCAGCCATCGGGCGACACGATAGTCTTGTAATTTGGGATCTCTGTGCCGTTAATGATGGTAGCACCGGCAGATTTGATCAAATCGAGCAGCTCCGTCAGCTGCGCGATCTGGGCCGGGTCACCTAGAGCCCAGAAGGAAGCCCAGGGCAATCCAAAGACGGCGCCTTTCAGTGCGGACTGGTCAGACAGGAACTGCGCATATCCCCCCTCGGGGGTTTTGCCCTGCTGCGCCAGCGTGTAGTTGTCGCGGGGGTCCACGCCGTAGATGGCATCCAAGGCGTACGTCGCATCGCGAACGGTCCTGCCAAAGGTGCCAACCGTATCCTGGTGCGTTGACTCAGGGATCACGCCGGCGCGAGACGTCAGTCCGACAGTGGGTTTGATGCCGACGATGGAGTTCCTTTCAGCAGGGTTGATGACTATGTCTATCAGCTTTCGTCAAATGCAGGACAGTAAGCACATCAGACTTACCACTGCCGTCAGTCTCGGTGCCCAGGGAAAAAGTGACCAGATTGGCCGCCACTGCCACTGCAGAGCCAGAGCTGCTGCCGCCCGGGTTGACAGTGAGATTGTATGCACTTCGACACTGGCCTCCACGCCCTGAATATCCCTCCGAATAGTTGTTAGACCGCATGTCCGCCCACTCGCTCAAGGCGGCCTTGCCCAGGAGAACAGCGCCCGCCTCGCGCAGCCGGTGGACAACGTGGGCGTCGCGAGGCACAATGGAGCCCAGCAGGGCCCAGCTGCCAGCGGTGGTCTCCATGCGGTCCTTGGTGGCGATGTTGTCCTTGACGATGAACGGGATCCCATGGAGGGGGCCACGGATGATCCCGTTCGCGCTTTCCTCGTCTAGAGCATGGGCGATTTCCAGTGCATCGGGATTGAATTGAAGGATGGCTCTGTTGGGCGTTAGCGAGCTGGAAACAAAAAAAAAAGAAAAGAAAAAGACCAGAAAAGAAAATAACGAGGAGTAAAAAAAAACGAGGAAATTCGTTAATGTACTATATCACAGTGCGATAAATCGCAAACACATCCATACTTTAAATACTCATCCGTCTGATAGATGCGCTCATAGTAGCATTGCAGCAGCTGGACGCTAGTGAGTTTGCCAGACGATAGCTGGGCCTGGATGTCATCGATGGTGGCCTCCTCTAGCTTGAAGCCATGGCAGAGACGCATGGGGAAGAGGGGGGAGTCAGCAATACTACCTAACCCATTACCAGCCATTTCCTGAAGGAAATCATAGGGAAAGGGGTTCTCGCGAATTTGCGACAACACGAAGCTGTCATTGTGTGCAGCCTGGTCCAGAGCCTGGATGGCCAGGGAGAGGAAGCTAACAGCCACCACTGCTAGGAAGTGAGACAAGGGCATGGCATGGAAGCCACGTGGGATCAGAAGAGGATAGAGGCAAGCAGGTATGTATCTAGACAGGCAGTGACAGGTTCACTACTCCGTAGTTTGGATAATTATTAGATACCTAGGTACGTGCAGATACTGCAATGCAACACGAAGGCTTGCAATTACATAATTGGCCAACGCATCTGGCATGTGACCTGCGCCCTTGCAGAGGGACAGTCGACAGCCGAGAAACGAGATACGTTCATTTCATTGTTTATTTAGTATTGCTGACATGGATTAGTATACTTGCCCATCGATAAACACTCTGCTAAGATGATCAGTCCCTGGTGAGGGTAATTGCTGTGCCACTGCTCTACCCGATGTAGGCACTGGTTACACGACATTTTCAATTTCCAAGGACAAAGAAACTAGACAATACACTTAGCAAGTCTTCCTTTTTATCTTTTTCCTTTACAATAAGGTACAAGAACAGTAGATAATGGCCAGCATCGAGCGCATCGACTTCCACACTCACGCAGTGACTCCGGGCTACCGCAAATATTGCCAGAAAGCCCGACTCGCGGGGAACGGGAAACCAGACGGCATGCCCGGGATACCAGTAAGCCAGACTTGACGCTGAGTATATACTGTACTAACTGTACGACACAGCAATGGGATCCCAAAGCCCACATTGCCCTCATGGATCGTCTGCACATCTCGCTATCCATCCTCAGCGTCTCTTCTCCGGGGACCCATCTCAGTCCCGGAAATGACAGCGAAGCACGACGTCCCTTACCCGCCAGACCAACAAGGAACTGTCAGACATCTGCAGGGCCTATCCAGACCGATTTGGCTTCTTTGCCTCTCTGCCTCTGCCGGATGTTGAGGGCTCGTTGGCGGAGATCGACTACGCGCTCGACCACCTCGGGGCCGTCGGGTTCCAGGTCCTGTCCAACGCGCACAGAGTCTATCCAGGAGATAAGCTACTCGATCCGGTGTTTGATCGGTTGAGCGCGCGCAAGGCGATCGTCTTCTTGCATCCGACGTCCTGTCACTATGTTCGGACTGTCGAAGTCGGCGGCTCTGGGGAGTCAGGGTCTGAATCGACTACTGTCGTCGAAACCTTTCATCCCCTTCCACAGCATCCAGCACCGATGCTGGAGTTCATGTTCGATTCGACCCGCGCAATCAGCAATCTGCTGCTGTCTGGCACGGTCAAGCGCTGCTCTGGAATCACCTTCCTTGCTTGCCACTGTGGCGCCACTCTGCCACCAATGCTGGAACGCATAGCGGCGTTTGGGAAGATTCCGGGCAGTAAGAGCGAAGACGCACTGACTGCAGAGGAGATAAAATCCACCTTGCGCACCCGCTTCTATTTCGACCTGGCGGGGTTTCCGTTCCCGGACCAGATCCACGGCCTGCTGCGTGTGACGGACACGTCGAGGTTGGTCTATGGTAGCGACTACCCGTACACGCCAGGTGGGTTGGTGGAGGACTTGGCGAGGCGGATGGATGAGGAGGTGGACAGATTGTTTGGGGAGGACGTGAAGAAGCAGATCTATCACGAGAATGGGGGAAAGATGCTGCGAAATGCTACGTTATGAATAAGTTCGTACTGTAAATGCTCGGATTCTATTATCGATAGTTACAATGGTTTTGGTCGATCTGTTTGTTAGCATCTGGGGAGTACGATCTAGCAGGGAAGCCCTGCCACTACTGTGACAACAAAGGTGATGGAAATCTGGCGCTGTAGCTGTTAGCTTGTAGTACATCCCACTTCTGCTCTTTGTTTATTTCATCCTATTGTTCGCATTAGGTCTGGCAATGATATTCTTCAGCCTTTGACAAAAACTCAACGAGTAGACGACAGCACGTCGTATTTCTTCTCGAGAAGTAGCATTTCTGGCTGCAGATAATTTAAATACGAGAAAGTGGATCGGCGTTAATTTGCACGTTTATACTTCTTTTTGCCTTCGTTTATTCAAGGCACTTCTCATAGAAGAACAAGGCATGCCACGGTTTGCTCTGCCTTGGTTGGTAGTATAGAGCTGAAGCATCAGGGTTAGGGTTAGTCAACCACGGAAGTACCATATAAATAAAGTATAAATAGATAGGTTATAAAGGTATAATAAAGTAGCTAATATAGCTGTGATGGTTAGTGTTGCGGTACAACATCGTAACTTGACGGAGGCCACCCGAGTCACATGGGATGCCCGTGACCTGGGGTATGGATAATCCATTTCGTGTACGGAGTTAGATGTTCCTTTCATGAATACCCACCAAGCCTTCTCTGCACCGCCGACCTTCAGCATCGACCACCTCGTCTCTATTGCACAGACACGGATGAACGCCGTAGGCGATCATTTATGGTCTTTGCAGTTCGACCCAGCTTATATGCGGCGATATCTCCGAGTCTTATATCAGGGCGAGTTTCACAAATTCTGCAAACCAAACGAAGCGGCTGCACTAGTGGTCAGTGAAATCTATCACGAAGTGTTAAGCTACTGGAAGTGGCGTATGGTGAAGAACGAGTGCGAGTATGTGAAAGATGTGCATGGCCGTTTTCAAGACAGCATTCGTCAGGGCGAACGGCTTCCCCCCGTATATTACTGTGCCCTGGACGCCCTGGAGCTCCTTCTCGCCAACGAGGTCATTCACTGGAACAACTTTCTCTTCCAAGCGATAGCGAAGCGACCGGGATTTCGCCATCATTGGAGGGTCTCTCGCCGTGATGCAGAGTCAGTTTTCCTGCAGCGACAAACGCCCGCCAATACGAAAGAGGCTTTTGACAAGGATCCTCTAGATTGGTGCTTGATTCAGTTGCTAGGATCGCAGGAGGCGCAAACGAATTTCGACCACGCGATGTTAATCGCGTTCCTGCAGAACCACCTCGACACGAGCTCCAAGGAAGAAAAAGCACGAGTGGACGAGATCCTGTACCAGAAACTGTCTGATTGGCAGCTGTTTATGAAATGCTTGCCTTAGTCCGGTTGCACCGACCACAGAACACAAACCGGACCCTGGAAGAGGTGTTCAAAACGGAAAAGAGAGGACCTTGGCAGAACGGGAGGAAGACTTACTCCCCGTCAATAAATGAATGCGACACTTTAGGGAGAATACTTATTAAAGAATTTTATGAGGTGCCACACCCAGCGGGCATAAGGACATGACGTGGTTGGAGCACTCTCAGGGCATTCGCCACGCTCTAGAACGCTTTTGGGTAGGGTTCAGAAATTCTGTCCGCAAGTCCCTTGAAGAAAGAATGAAGCTCAGCACGGAGGAACTCAACGCCCACTTGGAGATCATATCTGCCCATATCAGTCCAGAATATATTCACAGTTTTGAAGACGAGGAGCAGAGAATTCTCGCCAGTATTCGCAGAGCCTCGGAACCAGCTGCCATTCACATACAGACGGAGTGGGGAACGACGGCACAGGATACAGCAGTCGTTCCCAAGCGTAAAGTGAAGAGACGCTCTTCTGGTCCTTACCAGCTCGAAGCCCCGAAAGAGACTGAGACCATTATTAAAGACCAGGAAAATATGACTGGAGCAGATAATAAAGAAGAAGAAAATAATCCTCCAAGAAGAATCACCGTGACGAAGCGCGCATTCGACGTTCTCCGCCTCATGTACCCCGAGAACCCCGATGAGACAGGCCAAAGCGTCGGATGGGACAGCTTCGTGCACGCCATGTCCGACATGGGCTTCACGGCTCACAACGCAAGTGGCTCAGCGGTCGAGTTCAGGAACGAGAGTTTCGAGCACGACAACGGACAAACCGTGAGAGGGAAGATTGTCTTTCACAAGCCTCACTCGGTTGTGAAGATCGATCCGGTTATGCTGCGGTCCATGCGGACGAGAATGGCCAAGTGGTTTGGCTGGGGGAGGAGCCGGTTTTTGCAGGCTGAATTTATCGCCAACTGGCGAAGATGGTGCTTACCGGTTAAACCTACGCCCTGGATTAGGGTTTGGTTAGGGTTAACCCTGCAGCGTTGATCAACTGTTTGTCAACTGGCGAACACTTACAGCAAGGACCTAGAGCCTAATATTTATATATAAAAATCATTATATATAAAAAATACTTTGTGTTACTTATTCAAATTACAACTTTATGATATACTAATAATCCTACAGGCTACCGTAATAAGACTAAATTTTAGGAAGAAATCATCGCGGTGATCGGAGGGGGCAAAAAAAAAAACAACCGTCCCAAGACCAGTGACACAAGCAATCATGACCATCTACAGAGTACAGATCGAAGCACGTCCATTGGCGACTTCGCTATCAAAATGCAGGCCAGTGATGGCTACCTTACTCCAATAGGTCCAGCAAACAATCCTGCTGCCTGCTGCATTGCTGGTTACTATTAATACTATCACCAACAACGCAATCACGACATGCTTACTAGATGGAGTTACATCGGCCCCATGCAAGCAAGGCTAAGCTTTTGACCAAGATCGAATGTGACGACGAACCACCTGGACGCGACACCCTGCTCAGCTCATGCCCGTATTAGGCAACCATAGCTATGTGTCGCAGCTGGTTTGCTGTCAACTTATAAGAATTCCAGCTTTGGTCTTACTCAATGAGCAATTATGTCGATAAATATTTAACCATCTTCAAGTCTGGAAAGACCTCTATAATCTTCTTCCATTACCATCCTCTTCTCAACTGCCATGGGGGACGTTATTCAAACCGCCGTCAAGCACGTCGCCGGAGGCATCGGCTTCGTGTCAGAGGGCGTCGCTGCTTACAAAAACCGAAAGCGCTCGCAAGACCAGTCTACTACACCGGCGGACGAGTCCCATGAAAAGGAAAACACGATGAGGACGAGAAAGAGGATATCTCGACCGAAAATAGCCAGAATCCGGTCGAGTTCGCTGATACCTTCGTGCGAGAGCATCCTGAACCGGCAAATCCAGCAACTCCCCACGGAAGACTGCCATGTCCAGTCTTAATTCCACAGCGCAGACCAAAGGATCAGTCGCGCGGATTCATGCGTGCCTATTCTCCGGTCCTGGCCGATGTGGGCATCGATCAGTCGACGTTCCTCGACTTCCTCGAGACCTTGGGCCGGGCCTGTCGCGCATCGCCATGGATTCATACGATCAATCTGGCCTCTATCGGGACGCTGTTTCTGCCGACGGCGACCTCGATCGCTGTGTCGATTGCCATCCAGCTCGCCACGATGACAGCGATTGAGGCTCACAGTCGATACAAGTGAGCAGCATCCTTCCCTTCTTCTTCCAAAAGGTGCTTGCCAGTTCTTTCTTCCTCAGGACAAACAAGTTCCTCGACAAAATGAACCAGGAATTCTTCCGTCCGCGCGGCCTCTTCTGCCTTGTCATAACCTGGGATCCGGAGTCGGACGAGACCAGCGAGACCTTCAATCTCGAATCGGCCATCTCGACGTCCCTCCGCCATGATGGACCTGGCATGGGAGGATCATATACAAGCTACGGAGTTCGAGCGGGACGACAAACGGCACGAATCTGCCGTTTACGGAGGTTGCGCCGCTCGTTTTTCCTGCGGCTGAGCTTCAGGAAGCGCCGACAGATAAAAATAAAGGGAAGTGGAAGAGCAAGATGAAGGCAACGAAGGAATTCGTCGGTGATTATATGGACCAGAGGGCGCAGACAAAACTTGTATGTACTGTAAATCATTTCGTCGTTGGACGCCTTTGCTCACTCCAGCAGGCGATGAAGAATCCGAACGGCCCTCTACCCACCGGACCGACGCCGACTTTTGCGTCGCGATTCGCTGATCCCAGTCATCCCGCAAGCAGCGGGTCGCTTGTCTCTCTGGTAACAAGTGGCCATATCGATCTGCCACTTCCCATCATCGGAAGCGGGTCAGCACCGGCACGATCGAGAGGATCCAAAAGCGTAGTACAATCAGCCCTGGCGGAAAGACAGTCCCAGTCCACACAGGGAGGAATCCCAAGCCTGATCAACGAAATATACGAGTTCGCCAAGGAGTTTGGATTTGAAATCGTCGCGCCTGCGAGTCCCGGGACCCGACGGTCCAGCAGTCCCAGTCTCAGCAGCCTAGCTGCTCTCCCAAACATAGGTCCTGACAATCTGAAAAAGTTTATCAAGAAGGTGAGCTAAACCTCAACATAGTTATAGGAATGTTACTAATGATATTTCCTCCCAGAATGTGCTGTACCTGATGATCGTCAACATGCCAACTGAAGCGGAAATGCAGAACGCGCAGAGAGTAGTTGCCGAATCGACATCGCCGATGACCGTTGGGATGACGACGAAGACTGATACTGAAGTATACGAGTTGGGAACTTCTAGCGAAGTGCACGAGTTAGGAGGGTAGTCAAGTTCAGCATGTTCTCAATGGCTTATGTTGTTGGCTTTTTTTTTGGCTACGCTATCGCTAGAGTTTTGTCTGTAATGTACTAGTATTCTCCCATTGATCTGGAATTTCATGGTTAGAATATAGCCAAACTAGTAGATTCGACTGACCTAACATCTCCAACTGTCAACACTCGCAACACAGCTCTGCAGATCAACAATGCCATCACCGGACATACATACTGCTTAGATTCAAGCACAATTCAAGCCGTAACAAGCGGCTCCTCTTTCCCCGGATGCAGCTCAACCATAAAAGCCCCATGCTGCAGCGGCGGATAAGTCATCTCCGTGAAAGAATAAGATTCAACGCCCTCGTCCCTCATCATCTTCCTCACGCGGTCGTTTCCCCCGGGGACACCTCTCCTCTTTTTTTTTGTCCTTTGTGACGGCCGTCACCAGCCATGCGTTAAACTTTCTTCACGAGCTGCGGGCCCTTCGCCTCGTTCTCGTCCTGGATGGTGTCAGCGCAGAAATGAAATGTGCGAAGAAGGCGGGGACTTTGCCTTGGCTGGTCTTGGGCTAGATGGCTGCCATCACTGTGCAGTGCAGCCTTTGAGGCCGTCGGCAAACATACAGCCAGTCGCCGAAGGCTACTTCGTCGTCTTTCCACTCACTGGTCGATGTCGATTTTGTATTTCTGGCCAGTTGTAAATGGATGGCTCTGTTATTCCAATGGAGGTTTGTTCATGCAGAAAGAAGAAAGATGGTGGAAGAAGAGGCTGTTTGGATGTTGTTTGTGATGATGGAACGGACTGAATGGACATATAGACATATATACATATTCCTTTCCTATGCCAAGATGACTCCAGGCACTGTATTACCAATAAAGGTAAGTTTGGATCTATTAGTACTGTCAGCATCAAACAAAAAAAATAAGCCAGTACCTAAAACCATCCAAGAAAACGCTTAGCATAAACATAAAATTCGTAACTACATCTACAACTTTTGCGTTACGTCAGCAAACTGTCATGAGTTAATTTCCTGTCCTGAAAGCGGTTGCGTCAGCGTCAGCATCTTGTCAACTAACCCTAACCTAATTCAAACAGCATTATAACTTCTAGGATAGGCAGAGCCTCACATTCATCAGTTAAGTAAAGAGTTAAAAAAATTACTAGAAGTAGAAAAAAGGACTCTATATTAATTGATGATCCGATCCCAATGTTCTTCCTCAACGCACGTGCTTAGAAGAGACATTTAGCAATGCCACAATACTAGTCATTGTATAAACTATTTATTTATTATCAAAAAGCACAATGTGCTGTCAGTGGGAATGCTATATCTAATTCTAATATTCTATTTATCCAGCATTAACAATATTAAGAGTATTGGGTAGAGATTAATATTACCTTCTGCAGACAAAGGTTACTCCTTCCTCCAACTCCTCACGCGAAACAGATAGTAAATAGCCACAGCAAAAACGACATTGAACCAAATATACGCCCACACAAAGCCAAAGTTGCGCCATCGCTGATCGTACTCAATGTCCCGCGCGGCCAGGAACTGGTCCGCCATGCTGAGCGTGCAGTAGGCGCAGTCCTGCGTCGCTTCCGGGTTGATGAGATTGCCTGCCGCGCCGGTCGCTGCGGCCGCTTCCAGGTACGGCTGCATGTACTGTCCGCAGGTCATATTGGGCGGTGGCTGGAACACGCTCAGCTCACTTTGAGAGCAGTGGACGGGCCGGCCGCTGATGCCCGCTGCGGCGATGGTGTTGACGATGTACGTCATCGGGGAGACGCGGTACATGAAGCTCCAGAAGCCCGGCAGCGCGACGCGCGGCAGCATGACGCCATTGAAAATCAGCGTCAGGTAGAAGATCAACGTCGCGATCTGGCCCGCTGTCTCGGCGTCGGGCAAGGCTGCAACAACAGCATGCGCAAATGTTGACCCGAAGACGAAGAACTGGATCAGCAAGAGCAGGATCACCCCTTGGTTCTCGGAGCTGAGGATGCCAAACACCGGGTAAGCGAAGGCGGCAAATACTACAATTCCCAGCACAACCTGGAACGGGATCTCCACGAAGATGTTGGCGATGATGAATGCCGCCCAGTGATATGTCTTGGAAGGCCGTTCGCGCACTTCATAGAGGTCTCGCTGGAAAATGAACTGCGGCATGATCTGCTGAACCAGGGCGGCAAAAATGGCCGTGATCATGAAGATGGCGAAAATGAGAGACTGCAGGCCTTGCATTGATGTCCCTGGGATGTAGAAAGAGAAACCCACGAAGACTAACGAGCCAGTTAGCATTCTGCGTGTCAGATAATTTTGCAGCCATGACTTACGTGCTGATGCTATACCCAGGACAAACTTCCCCCAGATGTAGCTTGGTGTGCGCCAGTACTGCTGGAAAACTCGAATCATGACCGCAATCAGCTGGTCCCAGAAGGGCATCGCGAACTCCGTATTGGACTCCTGAGAATCGGTTTGCTTTGGAGCGTTTTTATTTCCCAACGTCTCGTGGAGACGATCTAGTTCACTTTCCACTTGTTTGGCCTCTGGGCTCTCACGCCACAGCGCTGGCCAGTCCTGAGTTGACTGACCAAAGGCTCCCGCACCGGCAAGTTCAAGGATGTACTCTGCTGGATTCTCATGCTCCTCACACTTGCGGGCGCCCTGTCTTTCAAAGTAGTCCAACAGCGTTCGGGAATTCTCACCGATATCGCCGAAGTACACCGTGCGCCCGCCTTTCGCGAGGAACAACAAACGATCGAATTGTTGGAAAAGCATAGACGATGGCTGGTGTATCGTGCACAAGACTGCCTGACCGTTGTCTGCGAGCTTGCGCAGGAAAGACACGATGGTCCAGGAGGACTGGCTGTCAAGGCCAGATGTTGGCTCATCCAGGAACAGAAGAAGAGCGGGCTTCGCAGCCAGTTCGACACCGATAGTCAGCAGCTTTCGCTGCTCCACATTCAGCCCTTCACCAGGAACACCGACGACGGCCTCCGCAAAGTCCTCCATATTAAGCATGCGAATAACTGTTCGGAAAGGTTAGTAACAACGAACAGTTTTTCACCAGGCATACGCACCATCCTCAACGAAATCGTATTTTTCCTTGACAGGAATAGACTTCGGCTGCCGCAACAGCGCCGAGAAACGCAAAGCCTCCCGAACAGTCGATGTGTGGAGATGAAGATCCTGCTGCTGCACATAGCCCGTTTTCCGCTGGAAACTTGCATCCAAGGGCGCACCATTGACCAGCATATCACCAGTTATGACGCCAACAGAGACCCTCTGCGCAAGAACATTCAGCAGTGTGGTTTTGCCCGCACCGGAAACTCCCATCAATGCTGTCAACGTGCCTGGTTTGACCCATCCGCTGACACCATCCAATAGCCGCCTCGTCTCGCCCTTGATTTGGATATCGTAACAGACGTTTCGCCACGTGAAGACATCCTTTTGCTCCGGCAAGGTGATTTCCTGGCCTTCCTTGGTATCTCCCGCGTCCCTCACAAGCTTCTTCGAGCCACCCTCCCTCACTCCCTTCAGCACGGCCTTCGGAACATGGCCAAAGCGATAAACCAAAGCCTCTGCCGTCGAGGAGCTGGAAGAGTTGAGCTCCGTGGTCACCAGGTAGAGAACCATGAAGAAGACGATAAAGGCACAGAGAATCCCAAAGTTGCGCCACAGATGAGAGTATCGATAGCCGTAACTGACATCCAAGTATCTGTCTCCATTCACGAAAAGTTCTCCGGCCACGGCACCCTTCTCGCCGCAAATGAAGCTCTTGCTCGAGCCTGTCGAGAAACCCGGATAGGCAGGGACGACATCTGAACAGGGAAAGTCGCGTCCGTGAAACTCGTTGACTATCAGGCTCTCGTATGCGTACGCGAGTGGATTGATCCAGAATATCCATCCAAACCAGGGGTGCATGTCGGGTTTAGGAATCACAAATCCGGTGTAAATCACAACAGCAAGGAGGATAACCCCCGCCATGGCCAGAGCTTGGGGGATCGTCTTCGTTGCCGCTGCAATGGTCCTGAATACCTGGCTCATGCAGAGAAGGGACATGAACGTAAACAGGAAAAAGACGAAGAAAGGACCCGCTTCATATCGCAAGCTGGCAAGGAAATAGAGAATGACGTTGAAAATAATCCCAGAGACCAGTTTTATAGGGATATCGCTTACGATTCCCGCCAATGCTTCAGCAAAGGGATGATAGAACGCGTAGGATGCATGCTTTTCCACGATTGGCCGCTGACTGTAGAGAGCATTAATCTCTGATACCGTCAACAGGGAGTTCAGCAGGATCGCGAAGAAGAGAGCTGAACTCTTTGCAAAGAACGACTGAGTCCCGAACGGAGTTCCATAAAACAACGATCCGATGATCAAGGACATGACGACTTGGCCGCCGATTGTGGTCAATGTGGACGCCTTGTCATTCCAGATCCGCTGATATGCCCTCACAGTGCAGAGCTTGACCTGCATCGGAATACTGATCACATAAGGGGAATGGGGACGAGTATGCTTAGCCTGCCTTTGCCGATGGCTCTCACTGAAGGTACTTGCCGTATGACCGCTCTTCTGCAGATCGTGTTCCAGTTGATAAATCTCGTTCTGGAGCTGCTTAAAATCGGCGCTTTCCCGCCAGTATCTTTCGAACTCTTCCGCAGTGCGTGGCACGGAGTTCTCAAAACCGGGTTTCGTCTGTCGTTCGCTCGGGTTGGTCAAACTAGTCAGAAAATCGGCCGTGGTCTGTCTGGGCGGGCAGTGCCAACCCATCTCCTCAAAATACTGCTTCGCGCGCTGAGTCGAGCCGAAGAATATTTCGCGGCCTTCGTACAGGACGATGACTTTGTGGAAGAGGTCATAAACGTTTTGTGATGCTTGGTAAAGAGCTACCAGATGAGTACTCTCAAAGATCTGGGAACTCAGTCGCAAAGCCTTGACGAATTCGAGGGCCGACGCTGAATCCAACCCTCGTGTCGCATTATCCCAGCAACATAGCGGTGATCCCGCCAGGGCCATTTCAGCGATTGACACTCTTTTTCTTTCACCGCCACTAACACCCCTGACAAAATCCGAGCCGACCTTCGTGTTGACCGTGTGGGAGAGCCCAAACACGGCCATCACGACGTTGCGGACATGTTCGATATACTCCTCGCGTGTCTGTCCAGGGGCCCGGCTTCGCGGGGCTCGTGCTGCAGCTGCAAACCCGAGTGTCTGACCGACGGTTAAATGTGGAAAATCTATTCAATGTAAGCGCTAGAAGCAACGATGAAATGGTTCACCAATCGACTCACGTTTCTCAACTTCCTGGTTGTACAGAATCTCGCCCCGGAATTCGCGAACCATCGTTTTCTGAGGAATACCGTCATAGTGTATCTCTGATGATGGGTCGATCGTCAAGCCTGTGGTATTGGCCGATATCGACTTGAGAAACGTAGAACACCCAGCACCAGGGCGCCCCAAGACCAACAGCATCTCACCACGCTTAACATAGCCATTGAAATTGTGCAAGATAGTCTTATGAGACTTCTGGCTGGATATCACACTTCTCAGGCGGAAAGGGGCTGTCAGGACTGAGTATACTGTTTGCTGGACCTGAATTTCGGCTCCTGAGCCATGGACCGAAAGATTCTTGAAGACGACGCCCGTCTTTCGTGGCTGAAGGCTCCCCGTTTCATATTTCTGTACCTGAAAGAGCATCCATTTGTACAGATCGAAGTTCTTGCTGGTAGGGTCGAGATGAGAAGGGTCAGGGGTGGTCGCCTTGCCGATGAGCTGAGCAGATCGAATTGATTGATGGGTAGCAATATGTGTCAATTGCTGGCGCTCCTGCTCCGACCAAATAGGATCAATATCTCCCGGTTTCTCCTCTGCCCGCTCCGTTCTCGCATCCTCTGATGCTGCTGAAGACTCTGACATGATGCATGCAGGTTGAAAATCTTCTGGACGGTTTAGGTGAGATGACAAGAACACAAGAGCATAGAGAACAAATTTGACAGATCATGGAGACTTCATGGGATTCAAATGCGACTTTTCACATGTTCACCCCGATTTATATACGCCATTTCCCAGCCTCAGGCAGCGACATCCTCTCCTCTTCTATCTTGGCGGAGTTCGGGTTTCGGAACATTGCCCTGCTTGGATAGTATTCTTAGATGTGCCCAAAGGGCTCGCCTTTCTGGAAACCAAAGACTGGTCCACAGTTTCCCACATAGGAAAACAGTACGCCGCTAGTTGTTTATCATCTGCCATCCTTGGTTCGGGACGTGATTGTAGCGTGGTCGGAAAGCCGGTTGACACGTCGCAATCGGCCCGTATGAGGCGTGCTCGAGTAAAGCGTTCGGCGGTCGGAAACCCTGGAGGAGCGATGCCTCCGAAATAGGCAAGCATGTCGGGATGACCCACCTAATGAAAAGGCGATAGATAAGGCATATCGGCCTTTGAAGCTGACCCCTGAAGCCATTGTCAGCATACTACTGATGGAGATCTGCAGAATGACGGCGTCTAACAATTGAAGTTGTTGCTTCTCCGTATATCATAGTCTGGTGCGCGATACAGGAAACGTATCTGCATGGCAAGGAGATATCAAGCTCATCAAGAGATCTGACAGAGTAACAGGATCTGCAGTCCGCAATCACATGCAAATCGACGATCGTTGCGTCGCCAAGATCAACGATTTTATTGGCTGCTTTCGAACCTCCGAGGCCCGAGTCACATGACCACGACCACGCGGCAATTCTCCACCGCCGACCTCGCGTCTCGGAGAACAAACGCTCGTCGCTGCTCGGACATCCTGGTTCAAGTGCCTGCGAGGCATTCGACAATAATGGCGGACACGACGACTGTGTTGCGGCCCAGAATCTCGAAATCATGCGACCAGTGCAAAGCTCGCAAAGTGCGATGCATCCGTAGGTACTCTCGTTTCTAGGTCTCTCTATAACCGATAGCACGCAGAACGGCAGTATTAACGGCCTGTCAAGGGGACCAAGGCTCACAGAGCTGTACAAATTGTCTCGTAAGAGTGCAGATCCCTGCGAGCACATCTACTGTGATTGACCCCCCATCCGCAGAAGCGCAGAGAAGAATGCCACTTTAGCCACACGAAGAGACGACTCAGACAGCCAGAGCAGAGCATATCTCCCGGTCATGGTATCACATATTTTAGGTTCCAGTCTCTCAATTGATTTGTTCTCATACGTTCGCAGGTCATGCTTCAGCTCCGTTATCTATTACTCCGTCACCGAGTGATGTTAGCTCGGGAGAACCACGGGCTTATCGGGACCAGGACCAAGGGTTGTATCTGGATTACCTCCTGGAGAACAGACAGGCTAGAGGAATCGGTGGCATGAGAAATGACACATGCATCTTCAAGGTGAGAGTTGGCAAAAAGCTTCCGAATGAAGCTGCAGAGGCTGACGGGTCGTCAATTGTAGGCTCCTGAACATTATGGTAGTCTCAGCCGACCGATTCCAGTAGTAAGCAGGTGCTGATGTTCTTCAAGTGGCAAGTTCGAATCTGGCCTTCTTCTCAGAAAGCAGGATTCGCTCTGTTTCGGAGCGACTGGGGCATACGAAGCTCCGTGATCTCATTGAGACAATCGGAAGCGTCATCAATGCCCGAATGAATCGCGGGACCAAAAGCTCCGGCGCAACAATCAAATTCAAAGGGCCGTCAACGCCTGAACAGGTGTCGCCGGAAGCTGCTTCAGCTTACATAGCAGGTAATGCTCCCGTGGTTTTCCCCGCTGAACCGTTCTGACACCGCCGCAGCCTACTTTAATCAGGTCCATCCTATGTACCCATTTCTGGATCGCAAAGACTTTGAGGAAAAAGCGTTCAGCTCCCATCTGCCTAAGTACCTGGCTAATAGTCCGCCATTTTCGGCTCTGTATCATACTGTCCTTGCACTCGGGTGCCAATATACGGAAGGCGGATCGTTTGATCCGGGGAAAGGAAAAGCATGGAAATTGTTCGAGGTCGCCCTTGGTCTGTTTTCCGATGTTCTCATTCCCAGAGAGTCTTTAGTCAATGTGCAAGTAAGCGTGCTGTCACAGACTCTTATTGGATCTCGCTGACCAGGAACAGGCTATCACTGCCATGGTATGCCAAGAGGTTTCACGACATGTTTGTTGAAAACACTGACATGAGGCTAGTCCATCTTTACTCTGAATCTGTCCTGTATTCAGATTGAAGAGACGTTGATTTCTGAGGCGGCGAGAATGGCCCAATCTCTGGGTTATAGCAGGGCCATCAGTATGAGTGAAAATGAGGTGGCGTGTCACAGGACGTTCTGGGTTATATATACCCTAGAGAAGACGACATGCTTTTTCTCTGGCAGAACCTCAGTAAGTGGCACTGCTGGCTGTCTGCCCTCGCTCTCCCAGTCCTTGTATTCATCGTGTCCAGGGCCTGATGGATTCCGACGTTGGATGCCCCATTCCAGAAATCCCCGAGGCAGTCTTCGGAGGCTTCGATTGGTTTCTGTCGTCCGCTCGCTTCAGTCGACTGGTGTCTCGCGCGTACGACATGCTATTCTCTGTCAGTGCCAGAATGAGATCACCAGATCAATACTTTGCGGCTATTGATCGAGTCGACGCCGACCTCGAGCGGTGGAGGAATTCTATTCCCGAGGGATTCCGGCCAGGCGAGCCATTTCGCCCTCAGAATTGCAAAACGGCGAGTTCCATGTTGATCACGCTGCGGTCGCATTTTTTCTATTACGGTGTCGTTGTCGCTCTGTGCCGGCTTACGCTGCACGTAGGCGCGGGGTCGTCATCTCCCCGCCTCGAAGAAGCGAAAAAGCGGCTGATGCATACTGCTCGTCATGTGATCGAAAACACCCGTTACATTGATGCGGAGCCATACACACCGATATGGTAGGAATCGCTGTCCTCTCTGTCTGATTTCTCTTTCCGACATCGCTGACGTGAACCCGAAACAGGATGCTCGGCGTCATTCCCTTGTCCGCCTTGTTCATTCTGTTTGATTTTGTTGTCCACAATCCGTCTCATCCGGAGACTAACACCAACTTGGCGCTTTTGGACGTCGCCGCTGGTTATTTCAGCCGGTTGGAGTATGCAACAGGAGGGTCCCTGCCCAGCTCTCTACTCTCAGATTTCGCCCATATTGCGCGACAATTTGTTCGCGATGTGCAATCCGGCAAGCGGGTAGTCACCACCGATGCTCCCAGCGGCGGTCAGTACAATACCAAAGATTTCGATCGCCTACCAGAGACGCAACAGGATGTGGGATTCTTTCCCCCTCAGATGGGGGTAAGTCTTCGTAATGTGCCTTCGTAGCGTTCTGCACTGACATGCTTTTTCTTTAGCCAACTCAACAGATGCCGATGCAGGGCCAGGTGGGCAATGGAGTTGCGGCCCCGTTCACGGAACAGCTCTTCTACCCAACGACCGATCTACAACCTCTGATGGGCGGCGAGGTCCCGGCCGGATTCGACATCACCAATCTCTTTGATGTTGTGATTCCCGACTTTATGACCCAGCTATAGCTGGTGGTCTTACGCTGCATGATATTCGTACAGTTCAGTGATGATTAATAGGACACATTCTGGAAATTGATAGGATTGGGGGCAGTTGGAAAAAGCCCTCTGGAACTGATATTCATGACAGTACATTTCTGAATCTGAAAGCTGGAAACAGATGTCATACCGACACGGACTTCACTGCCCCATCCTGTTATCAGACCAGTCGACATATAAATTGCCAGTCATGCGTCGAACCCGTCATTATCAGACAGGGACCCTCTAAGGTTAGCAGCATTGTCCATCGCAGCGCCATCTCGAAGGGTCCGTCTCATCCCAACCTGATATCCATCCCTTGCCCTTTCGGCAAGGTATCGTTCCAGCAGAAGCATGCCTTCGGAGTTGGCAGACATATCGTCGAGCACGTGCTGTGGCAGATGCGACTCTGCGTGCAGCCTCTGTATCGCAGACATGGTCCGCGCAGCGCGAGCCCGACGCATCTGCTGCGCCGCGTCTGGATCGCCCCAGAGACCGTCCATGCGACTCTGGTGCTGGATGAGACGGCCCTGAGTCAATGCTGGAAAGGTCTCATGATGGTGGCTAGTGACATTCTGGGGGTTGCTGGTGGAGGTAAACGGCGGAGAATACCGCGAGATGGAGCGGTGTGATGCCGTGGATGCAGCGACAGCATTGTTTGTGCCATTTGTCGAGAGTTGCGATCTGTGTTCGTCTCTTCCTGGTGTTAACAAGACTGCTAGTAGGGGGAGGCAGACAATACGGTATCCCAGTCAAACATACAGATCAGTTCTTGCTACAGTGCCTTCCGCCCTGCGAGAAGCATGGGTCATTCGGTGCTGTCTGTGCGGTTCCATGGCTGCAGAAAGGTTACTTCGGATTCTTTGAGGGCCAAGCAAGAAAGTCAAACGGTCTCGAAGGTCGGACTTTGACTTGAAAGGGAAGGCAATCTTGAAGAATATCTGTGGAGCAAGATAATAAATGGAAAGGTAACAAAGATATATTTCGTAAAAACGTGTCTTTTGGCCCTGCTTTCTGCTTCCCCGTACCAAAGCTCAGGAGCAGTTCGGACGTATTTATAGACGTTCACAAAAGAGCGGTCGGATCTAATTGGCTGCCTTTACTTTGCACTGATGCAATATCCTGACTTGGTAAACAAGCAAGGCAACTACTTCTGCAAGACTCCGCGAACTTTGAGCCATTCGGTTATGTATTTCCGGTCCAAAGAAGAGGGAAACCGCGAGTCAGGGCGTCATATTACTTGCTTCTCTATATCTTCAGTCAATATTCCCGGAGATAGTTGTTTGGACCTAGTTGCCTTTAAATTGCAGGAAACTACTTCCATAGGAGGCAGACGAATCTGAGCCTTTTTTTTTTGCGAGTCATGGCACGATATTATTTTCTTCTGCATCTGCTGTCGATGTTCTAAGCCACTTCAGGCCCAGCCTTAATTAGGGCTAATAACAAAGATGATAAGATTGATAACAAATAAATCGATACATACATTATTAGTCTGCACATGGGCAATCAATTCTCCTATCTATATGTTACACAGTCCACGACGCCACCTCGGTTTGCTTGACCGGTTATCAATCCCGTGGGTTCTCAAAGATTGCCCCTCTTCTAACCAAGGTAAGTATGTATATGAAAAGGAATGCCAGGTACAGTACCCTCCACCTCTTTCAAAATGGCCTGTCTGTCTGCCTGCCTGCCTGCAGGGATGGACGGTTGTACAGTACATAGATTCGATTGGATCATTGCATATATACTCTGTATGTATATGTAGCTCATCCATGCATATGTACTTCATATCGGACTCTGCAGCAGCTCATGCAGCCGAAATATCCTAGAAGGAAGGTATTTTGCTATTTGCCAGGTCAAGCCACGGTCACCTTCCTTTCGGAAACCTAGAATTTTCCCGATAAGGATGATGATGGTGTCACATGATGCATGTATAATACCGATAATATTAACATTACTGTTATTATAAGACTTTTTTTAATGTATAGATGTTTCTGGCAGGGCTGGACGAGACGTACAGTACAGTACAATCTGTCTGTCACTTCGGATGCCAGGCCAGCTTGCATTCAAATGGTAAAGGCTAGTCAATGGCGGAGGTAGTTTCATCTTGGACAAGAAATTTAAAAAAAAGAGAGAGAGATTTATATTCCCAGACAAATGTACATTACATATCTCTACATAGACAGTATCACAGTATCACAGTATCAACAATCGTAGCCTCGTCATAGAGCCCTCGCTCCCTGTCTTGCGTCTAGTCGAAAACAATCTTCTTCCCCTGGAACGACGCTTGGGCTGTCTGTTCCTTCTCCTTCGCTTTCCGGGCTGCTTCCCATGATGGATGGAGCGGCTTGTCTTCTGATGAGGGTTTCTTGCGCTGCTGCTGCTGCTGCTGCTGCTGCTGCTGCTGCTGCTTCTGCTCGTTCTTCTCGTTCTTTGCACCGCCTCCGCGCTGCTGTTGTTGAGCAGCTCGTTGCTTGCCCCATTTCGGCTTCCCGCTGTCATCCTCGTCCGTGGCGCCCCTGCGCGGATCCCAGCCCTTGTCACGACTTTCTTTGCCCTGCTGCTGCTGCTTCTTCTGCTTTTGCAGGTGGTTGGCCTTGTCGCCGTACATCTTCTCCCACAGCGCCCGGCGGGCCTTCTGACCCATGCGATTCTTCCGGCGAGGACGAGTTTCGGCGATATCATCGACGTCGCCGCCCGACTCCGATCCCGACCAGTAGCCGGCCATGAGCGATGGGAGGAAAGTCGTCTTTTTTGCGGGCCCGTCTGCTCGTCCGGCCTTCTTTTTACTACGCCCTTTCGCCTTCGATGGAGGAGGTGACTCCGATGCACTTCGAGACGGCGAGGGAGATGGTGAAATGGAGAGGTCGGCCGCCGCATCGTACCGTTCCGGTCTTGCTTCTGGCTTGCTGATGCGACGTCTCTCTGAGTCGGATTCATCCTCTGATTCTGACTCGTCCGACGACGACGAAGAGGCCAAACGGCCGTCGAACTGAGCATAATCCACGCTCTGCTGGTCTGCGTCGTCCATGCTGACATCTTCCGAAGCGCCGTCCCTGGCTTCAGACTCGGAGTCGCTTTCTTCACCATCCGATTTTCGCTCCTGCAGCTGTTTGACAGTGTCCTCGCGGCGGCGCTCCGCGTCTTTGTTGTGTCCAGTCTCTCCGCCTGTCTTTTTCGTCGGCGCATCGTCCAGTCCCAGGACCGCTCTAATCCCACTCATGATCCCGGGCATGGCATTCTTGACCGGATTCGACTTGAACAATCGCGCAGTGACGTTCGCCTCTGCGGGATCTCGCGGTCCAGCAATGGAGACGGATGTGGAGTTTCTCAACCGTTCGAACTCGGGCGTCTCGGCGATCCGTTTCGTCTTGACCAGCTGCTTCAATAGATACCTTTCCGCCGTCGCTGCGAGGTCCAGTGCCTGAGCAAGTCAGCATGACATGCACTAGCTCTAATTTATCCTTTTTTTTTCTTGCTTCTGCCATACCTTCAACGCCAGCACTTCCCTCTCCAAGCGCTCCAGCGTCTTCTGATCCTCGGCCTTCCTCGCCGTCTTCTGCCGCCGGCCCAGCTTCTGTCGTTCGAACCCCCGCGCCGTCTTCAACGCGCGGTACAGCAGCTGAGAACCGCGCTCGAACTTGTGCCGCAGCTTGGTCGCCCGCAGGTCGACGCGCCGCTCGTCGCGGCTCTCGTCGCGCCCGGAGGGCCATCCTCTTCGAGCTCGGAGTGCTTTCGTTTGGACATTTTGTGGTTAGAACAGAATCGAGATTATTAAAATTATGACGTGTTGGCTTGCGAACAGGCCGGCTGTTGCTTGCTCGGGTTCCGCGGTCAGCAAAGACGCTAAAGAAAATGTTTGGCGGGGGAGAAAAGACGCCAAGACTCCGCCAGCCCAGTCTGTCAGCTCCAACAAGTTAATACAACCTCAGGCCGTCGATCACCAGAGCCTCGGTACATTCACGAGCATATGAAGGGTGCTAGACGTGCATTTGTCATGTGGTGGCAGATCTAGTGTCCTCTTGGAAGTGTATATCCAGCATGTCTGGAGCATTAGACATATTAGGTGCTTCTTTTTTATGCAGCACGTGCCCGTAGTGCCGTATAATTAAGCAGATATATAAAATCAAACAGCTCCTCCCTTGTCATCAACCGCAGTGCAATTGCAGAGAAACCGCAACAAGATGGCCACAGTAATGAGATACGTCCTTCCTCTCTTCAGCCTCTTCGCTCTCTACGCCATCTTCTTCTTCGCCTATACCAACGGCCTGCGCATGCTGGCCCTCGACAGCATCGCGTCCAGGACCCTCCCGGACACAGAGTCACTGCCATTGAGGACCGTCTACACGGGGATCGAGCCTGTGGATCGCATCCTCGTCGTCCTGACGACCTTCTTCTGGACTGCCTTTGTCGGGAGCAACCCCTCGCTCCTGCTCCATTGTATCTGTTTCGCGGGTGCGTTTGGGTCTGCTTGGGTGTTGGTTACGCTGGAGTCTTGGAGGAGGGGGAATGCCTGGACGGTTGCTGCGTTGTAAGTCTTCGTCTTATTCCACTACGTCTCTATGTTCCTTTTTTTTTTAAGTGTAAATAATGTCTGTTGACTGGATTACTACTTCTATACAGCCCCTTCATCTTCGGCATCATCGCTCAACTGGCCACCTTCGCCGTCGCGGCCCCTCTCTACTGCGGTTTCCAACTGGCAGTCTCAAGCACCTCTTCCAGGCCCAATGTCCACAGCATCGCCATCCCCCGGGCCGTCCTGCACGCCCTGCCTTTCATCTTCGTCATAGGATATGCCGTTCCATCGGGACTGATGCTCCTGCGCACCCCGGACGTGGTCAGCTTCGACCAGAAGCAGATCATCATCGCCCTCTGGCAGCCGTGGCCGGTGTACATTTCCGTCATGGCCACGCTGGCCCATTTCCTGCTGTCTCCATTCACCCGGAATGGCAACAGCAGTAGCAGTAGGTGCTCTCCTGCGCTACAGATGGCTCCTCCTCTGCGGCGCGTCTACGCTTTTGCCTTCGCCAACGCGGCCATCGGGCATGTCGCCGCGTGGACGGTCTCCATCGCATCTGCCGTCGTGCCCGTCCTCTTCAACAAGCGATTCGTCGACGCGCTGCATCCGGCGCGGGTGTTTGGGGTGTCCTTCCCCTCGTCGTCGTCAGCCCGGCGGGTGGTGTCTGTCGGGGAAGGCGTGCATGCGTTTCTGCAATGGGATTTTCTCATCGGGTCGACGGGCGTGCTGCTCTGGGCTGCGACGCTGTATGTGCTGGCCCATCGCCAGATCTTGGGCAAGGTCAGCTGGATTGGGCTCGGGGTGAAGATTGCCTTGCTTGTGCTGGTGGCAGGGCCCGTGGCGACGGCTGTGGAGTTGGTCTGGGAGAGGGATGAACTCGTTATTGAATGGGATACGAAAGCTGTGACTGGTGATAAGAAATCAAACTGATAGGGTGTTTGGCCTTGATACGTGTGCAGAACCTTATATAGGCCCTTGTTTAATACGAGAAGTAGTCATACTGAATGGATTGAAATCGCATCGACTTTCCAGACACGCTACGGTATGTACAATTGAGACAGCAAAGGAAAACAAAAGGAAAGTCTAGGTGTACATTATGTTTGCATCTATTTCTTTTCCTCTGGTTTCTTCTCTTCCGGCTTAGGGGTAGGCAGCTTGAACTGTTGTGTTCATCATGGTTAGCAATCGATCCGAAATGACCTGCAGAAATTGGTTGACTCACCGAATCGGGCTTCCGGTCGACACCAGGTCCGACCTGCTCCCAGGCCGCCGTGCCGCCCTCGAAGTTGCGGAAGGCCTGGGTCAGCTCCAGCGGCTCGACCACAATCCGCTTCTTCTCCTCGTCGTACCGGATCTCCGTGTAGCCGGTCAACGGGAGTCCTTGCGTAGCGGGTGGCCATCAAAGCCGTAGTCGGTCATGATCCGGCGCAGATCCGGATGGCCGGTGAAGAACACTCCAAACATGTCGTAGACCTCCCGCTCATACCACAGCGCGCCATCGTACAGACAGGTGACACTGGGCACGGGGCTGGCCTCGTCGGCGTAGGTCTTGACCCGGATTCGGGAGTTGTGACGGACGCTGAGCAGGTTGTAGACCACCTCGAAGCGCTGCTCCCGGGTGGGGTAGTCGACCGCCGTAATGTCGGAAATCTGCGTGAACTCGGCCGCAGTGTGGTATTTGAGGAAGCTCATGACCGGAATGAGCCCGGATGGGGGCACGTAGATGGTGAGCTCGTCCTTCCACACGGAGAATTGCTGCACGTATTTGGGCAGGCAGGACATGATGTACTGGCCGTACTTGTGCAGGCTCTCAGCCTTGTCCTGGTACTTGTCGGCTGGGTTGACAATCGGAGCGCGGAGTTCTCCCTGGGCTGGAGTGCAATTTGTCAGCCACCACTGTCTCAATTGCAAGCAATCCTAAATTCGAGTACGATTCGGGAGACATACGCGGACGCTGGGCATGCCGCATGTTCGGGACATGGTCCTCGGCCTTGGACGCATATTGGAGAGGGGAAGAGGAGAAAGCACGGACGCATCTGGAGGACCAGGAGGCAGAGCCCAGAGTGCGGCTGCCTCCAAGCCGCATCAGAGCGCGTGAAGCCGCCATCGGGAGGACGCAATGGGGGAGGGGAGCAGGGTGAGCAGGACGGCAGGGCGAGCGGCAGCACGAAGGAAGTCGGATGGCGTTGAAAGTGCAGTCTAGATCACGTGTGCATTAGATAAGCAGAACTCACATGATTATACTCACGTGACTCACGTGACTGGTGCACCGCCAAAGTGAAAGCCGCCGCAGCAAAGCAGCCAACGACACGCAGCGCAGCAGCCAAGATTGCCCAGCTTCTTCACTCTTCTCTCCTTCGTTTCACTCCCATCCTCATCCCATCATCCCCCACTGCCTCGGCGTCTGCGTCTTTCCTCTCCTCTTGCCTTCCTCTTCCTCTCGTTCTCTTCTCATTGCCCCCTTTCTGCCGTGACCTCTCGTCCCGCTCAGTGTTTCTCGGCACACGGTTCATGCATACTGGCGTCCTAGAGCTTTGCGCGGAGTGGCCACTCATCCCCCCTCAGACCGTCGACAACCATGTCGAACCGTAATCAGATTGACTCAGTCATTGACGATGACGATGAGTTCTGGTATGTTCTTCTCTTGGTCTGTCTCGGTAAAACTTTTTTTACTGACCTTTTGTCTGTTCCAGCCCCCTCTGCATAGAAGAGTTTGATCTCTCAGACAAGAATTTCAAGCCCTGTCCCTGTGGCTACCAGGTTAGTAAACAACCTCTCACCCCACCATCCTTCTCTCACGCGTTCTCTTCCCTCGCGCAACTCTGCAGCATCGCCATCAAGCGCATCGATTCCTTGAAAATGAATCTAACTCAGCGGGACCAGATCTGTCAGTTTTGCTACAACAACATCAAAACCCACAGCGAGGAAGGGAGGTGCCCCAACTGCAGACGGGTGTATGATGAGAGCACCATCCAGTACAAAGTGCCTGATGCCGATGAGTAAGTCTCCAACGACCTGCCCTCCCTCTCTCTGCCTTCATGCTGATTTTTGCTCTTTCTCCTCAAATCAGGTTCAAAGCGGACTTGGCGTTGAAACATCGCAAGGCGGCCGCCGCGAAGAAAAAGGAAGCGGAGAAGCGCGAGATCGAAGCCTCCAGTCGCAAGAATCTCGCTGGTGTCAGAGTCGTTCAGAAGAACCTGGTCTACGTGATCGGGCTGAATCCGACGATACGTGACGAAAACCAGCTGCTACAGACGCTGCGTGGCCCCGAATATTTCGGTCAATATGGCGAAATCGAGAAGATTGTCGTCAGCAAAGCGAAGCCAGGGGGTAATCCAAACCAGGGTATCGGGGTCTACGTGACTTTCGCGAGGAAACAGGACGCAGCGACCTGTATTGCGGCTGTAGATGGATCCGTCAACGGTGACCGGGTTCTTAGGTAAGCCCCCAGTTTCCCAGCCTTATGTCGATCACGCTTTCATCTAACTGAGCATGTCTACAGAGCGCAATACGGGACGACGAAGTACTGCTCTTCTTTCCTCCGGGGCGAGCAATGCAACAACAAGAACTGCACGTTCTTGCACGAGACAGGGGATGATAACGAGAGCTACAGCCGCCAGGATCTCTCCTCCATGAACACTGCCCAGCGCCATGGCCATCAAAATGGTCCATCCGCCGCGGGTTCTCAGGCTCGACCTTTGCCGCAGCCCGTGCAGTCGTCGCAACCCATGCGCCGACAAGGGAGCAAGGATGAGGCTGGCAGTAAGCAAGGATCGGACGGATCTGCTCTGCCTTCCTCGGCAAGTTGGGCGAACAAGGATGTCAATCGTGCTAGGCGAGCTAGTGTGAGTGGTAGCCGATCTTCACCCAGCCCCAAGCCGGCAAATGTCACGGTTGCGGCGAAGAACGAAGAACAAAAGCGCCCAGACAAACCTTCTACTGCGGCACAGGATTCGTCGCGTCGATCAACGCCCGCACCAGCGCAGTCTCAACCAGCCGCCTCGCAGCCATCATCTCAAACCCAACTGCCTCCACAGCGACCTGAAGATCTCATGTTCGAAAGCCTCCTTAAGGCAGTCAACTCCCCCGAGTTCAGGTTCAACTTTTCTACGGAGGGATTGTCTCCTGAAGATTTGAAATTTATCGAAAATGCGCCTTCTTTCATCGACCCTTATGGAGGAGTCAAGCGTAGAGCGATGCGCGAGAAAGCCGAACAGGAACGTGCCAAACAGGAAGCTGAGGCGCAGTCGATGATGCAATCCGCTGCGGCGGCCGAGGAGGAGACCAAAGAAGGCGGCAGTTTGCAGCTGGGAGGCGAACCCGATGATACCCATCCTTCGAGAGGCGGCCGTGGTCGGGAAAATCTTGGGGCTATCCAGCCACCATCCCAACAGGGCACTGCGAACAATTCTGCCGTTGGCTCCCCGGCGTCCCTCAACCATCAGTTCCAGAATCTCAGCTTGAACGGTCGAAGTCTGACTCCACACCAGCAACAGCAGCTGATGCTCCTCAAGTCAGCCAATGGCCAACAGGCCGGCTTGACGGAGCCTCTGCAGGCTGGTGCCTTCGACCAAGGTCGTCAGGGCTTCCTTCAGAATTCCATGCCCCAAGTCAGCGGTGTGCAAGGTCACACTCGCCAGTCTTCCCGGTTCGCGTTCGCCAACGATTCTAATGCGAAGAATATGGCAAACGCCCGGATGCTCGGCCAGCAAGCGTCGCTGATGCAATCTGGAACCCCCAATCCTCTGGCTGCGCCTACTCCTCAGCAAGGCCTTGCCAACCAGTTCTACACGAGTAGCGTGCAAGGTCCGCCCCCTGGTTTGAAGACTGCTGGGACTCCTCCCGTCAGCGGTGGTGGAATGTTCGCCCAGGGTCATGGTTTCACGACGAACACCAACCTCGGTCTCGGTGCAAATGTTGGAAAGCAAGATGTGAACCCGGAGCTTATGCGTGAGCTGCTGCGCGGCCGCAGCGGCACAGGAGGTGCCGGTGGTGTACAAGGACACGATGCTGCTAAGCGTGAGTCAATGTTTCCTTTCCTTCAGCCCCAGCAAACCCCCCCTCCCCTGACTCCCGCTACTGGCCTTCTCAGCAACTTCTATGGTTCGCAAGGAGGCAATTATGCCGAGCCTGGACCACAGAAGCAAAAGAAGAAGGGGAAGAAGCACAGACACGCTAACACTTCCTCCGGTGGAGGCGGTGTAGTAGATCTTGCGGACCCGAGCATTTTGCAGGCGAGGATGCACCAGGTTGGTGCCGGTGCCGCTGGGCAAGCGCTGTATGGGAGTCAGGGCCAAGGTGGGTACAATCACTCCATGATGTATGGAGGCGGTTTCAACCGCTGGTGATTGTCAATTTCCCACCTGCGATCCCCTGATGCCCCCTTCATGTTGTTCCTATCCTTTACCCCTACCTTTTGTTTTTCCCTTTCCGATGATGGCGCTTTGTCGATTTTGTTTTCCTTTGCATCATGTTTTTTACGGGACTTTGTTTATTCCTCATATGCCATGACATGATTTCAATGGCTTCTGGATGGGTACCGACCATTGGCTCCTTTCATGTTGTTTGTTGAAACGTGTTTCCTGTTTCGATTTGTTTTTGAAAAAAAAATCCCCTTCTTGCAGTGAAGCATCTGGCAGACGGCTCTTGAAAATGTGGGCCCGGGTGTGCCTTTGGCGTTTTTCGATGGGTTTGATGATTCTCACATCTATGGTGTGATGTTTGATGGGAGGCGTTATCGCATTTTTCTTCTACGGAGATCTATTATGTCTTCTGGGTTTCTGTTGCTCCATTTGGTGGCCACCCGTGTTATGCCTGCCCTGTTACAGCATTCGGGGCTACGCGACATTTTGCCTATCATGGCTCTTTATGTACGTTAAACCTCCCTGCCCTGTCTTGTACCCAAGGCGGGGCCAAATATGCCGAAACAAGTTCTCACATTTAATGTCCCATATAGACATCCATCCTGTTGGTCCCTTTGGTCGAGTGCCTATCTAGATGGCCAGAATACTCGTGTAATCACTCTGCCCTTGTACCGTATTGCATGGCCACCTTGTCCCGTTCAAGTTGATGACAAAGCGCTGGCCGTCACTTGTCATTTCTGTTTCTCGTTATCCCTGTCACTTGGAAAACACGTTTCATTGCATGGGGCTTCCTGCTTGTCCACAGGAACTGACTTTGACCTGCGCAGTTGACGATGACTTCCCTCCGCTCGGCGCCGCTCCAAAGGATAGGAACGACTTGCCTTTCCGACCTTATCTTCCACATGGACCGCAAGACCAATCCGTGCGCTCTGGCACTCCGACTCTTCCACCTGGTCTCCCCCTTCCTCATGGCCATCCCGCAGCAGCCCTACTTCAGCAGGACGTCTCCAACCCGCAGAGTCCGGCGTCGTCTGTCTCTTATCCGGTACACCCTCCACCTGGGCTTTCTTTTTCTCGCCGGGGGACCCCAGTCCAGAAGCCACAGGAGAATATCTCCCGGAAGCAAACCCCGGTGGTGAAAGAGACCCAGGGTGACACGCCTTCTGCAGAAAGACCCAAGAACCCTGCAGATATCTCATTGGGCTCTCCCAAGCCGAAGCCAGCCAACAGAAATAATCGTGAAGAAAAAGCCGCGGAACCCTCCCCTGCCACTGAGAAGGAGTCTGCTGCAGCATCCACAGAGACACCCAAGCGCGCGGAGCGCAGCAGTAAGAAGGCGAAGCCGATCAAGCTCAACCTGGCCATGCCAACGCCCCAGCTGTCTGAAGTTGCCACTACGAAGGAGGAGACATCCAGTCAAAATGCGCCAGCTGTAACCTCAGCGCCAGCGCCGGCGCCGGCGCCGTCTTCGCAGATTGGATCCCGACCGAATACGCCGCTGACTGGTGTTTCGCGCACTTCTGACTCGTCAGGTCCACGCGGGCCGAGAGTGCTTCGTGTTGTCGATACTCCGAAAAACGAGACTCCGCCGCCCCCTTCTGAATCGCAGTCAGCGTCATCTGCTGCTGCGTCAAAAGATGCGTCGAAAGATTCGTCGAAAGATGCGTCGAAGGATGCATCCAAAGATGCATCAAAAGCACGATCCAGACGGCCAAGTCTATCTTCATTGAGCAGACCTGCCACTCCTGGAGACGTGGGTTCTGATTATGATCCTAACACGTCTGCGTCGGTATCCCGTGCTAATTCACCACCGCCCTCGCGGGTGGGGTCAGCGCCAGTCCGGACGATGACTAAGAGCCAGGCGAAGAAAGAACGGAGACTCAAGGCGAAGCAGGCAGAAGAAGCGAAGAAGGAGGAGGTGATGGCCTCGACCCCCGTGGAAGAACCCGTGCAGGCGCCGATTATAGGTAGAAAACGCAAGACCAAGAAGACTCCGGTGAGCAGCTCAGAACAGTCTACGACGGCCGCGACGACTTCGACGGATAAAGAGGAACAGAAGTCTGATGCGAACCGGAAGGCCGGCAAGTCCAAGGACAAGGCTACCAAGGACGAAAAATCGGCAGCGGCCGAGGAGAAAAAGCCAGAAGAGAAGGATAACGTTGAGGCATGGAAAACTAATAATACCATCGAACAGTTGCTCAAGGATGCGGAATCCTCTGGCCGGTCCATCAAGGAGCTCTTCCTCGAGAGGACGTCTCCTCTTCATGCCGTTCTTGGGCAGATGCACAAGGCCGGCGAGATTGATCTGAATACACACCCTCTGTTTAACCCACCCAATCTCAACCAGCGTACCGATATGAAGTGCACAGCGGACGATTATGACAACCTAAAGCGACCCATCGAATTGACAGAAGAACATAGGAAGATGCTGCTCCGGGGTGAGCCTGTTCGGATCAACCAGGATTCAGATCTTCTAAAGAACCGGTGCCTGATCACTCCACGTGGATGTGTCTTACGCAACCTCTCTAAGGAGGAGGAGGATCGGTATCTCGAGCTGGAGAAGCGCGTAAGCCCTGAGGCGATGCAAGAGTTCCCAGCCATCTCAATGAACGAACCGGACCCGACGAACATGAATGGCGGTCTGGATGCTCTCTTTGCCACGCCCGAGAAGTTCAACATCCGCTGGGTCGATGATGTATCTCAGATGAACCTGACCTTGGACTCAACTGGGGGCTGTGGTGACGGAGGCGGACACATCCGCAGCGTCTTCGACGACGGCATCTGCGCCGCTAAATGTGCTGTCGACGATGGAGGCGGATAGCACACGCAGTCACAACTGGGCCATTGCCAACACGGCAGAGCTCGTCAATGCAACAGCGGCATCGGTTCGTTCCTTTGCTGCGGCCACCGCCAAACATATGCTGGGAGCGGCCGGTGTGGCGCTGGGCGAGATCCCGGACATTGAAGACGTTCGGGCCATGTCGGATGAGGAGCTGCGGTCGTATATCGAACGATCCCAGCGCGAACTCGAGACATCGCGAAAGGAGTTTGAGTCTCTGGACAAGAAATTCAATGCGCTGGTCAAGCGGACAAAAAGCTTGCGCAGCAAGCGCTCAGCGTCGCGGTGGAGGCGGCCAAGTAGGCGCGCAACTGTCTCAGCAGGAAAGTAATTTTACTCGAGAAACGGCATTATTTTATGACTGTCAACGGCTTAATTCGGAACGGTTCATACGGCATTGCATTGCATGACGACACTGACGACAATTATCTTTATCTCCTTGTTTTCTTAATCCTGTTCTGCTCATTTTGCATTCGCATTTGCTTCGTGTACAAGTTTGCGTCTCTGGATGTACTGTACTGTACATGTACCATAGGACCAACTGCGGGCATGGAATCGTCATTCTTATCAGTTAAATGTATGTGTATCAATAGCCGATGAACTCGATGAAAAGTCGATCATATCAGATATGCGAAAGTATGCCAAAGCGAGATAAGATTGTAGCTAGCTAGGTAGCTTTAATTTTTAGTTTTTAGCTTTAGTTTTGATCTCGTAAGGTAAATGTAATGGTGCATATCTATTGCTCGACGAGCCTTAATCTCGCTTCGGATGACTTTCCGGCCGGGGCTGTTATCAGTTTTTTCATCTGCAAGATCGGGGCGGACGCCGATGACGCCATCATCCACGGACCACACTACGCATGGAAAGACAGAAAGGAAACCAGGAAAAAAAAGATCAGACGAATCCGAGTAAAAATGCGACACGGTGACTGGACAACTACCTGATCGCTAACGGTGGTCTAGTTAGCATTGCGACAGGACTATGCCACGCCGGTGCAAAACCAAATCGGCTGCTTTGCCGACCCCGCCTAGTCACTGGAATGGATGAATGAATTAGTAGGATTGTTGTTCTAGGATTTATTTATTTATTATTTATTGATTTACTTATTTATATAGCGAGATGATACCCTCGTGAACTGACCTCTGCAGAAAAAGCTCAGCTGGAAACGGGCATTACATCGGATATACTTTGACAACATGGCATCCAGCACACCTCTCACAGACAAGCAAGCCCCGATCGTCATCGTCGGAGCTGGCATTTTCGGCCTCAGCAGCGCCATCCACCTCGCCCAGAGAGGCTTCGCCAACGTGACTGTTTTCGACAGGCAGCCGTATTGGCAGACGCAATATGACTTTGATTCGGGCTGTGATGCTGCTTCGGCAGGTATGTACTGTACTGGCTGCATTGCGGTGAAACGAATGGGGGGATATTGTTGTTTCTGACAGCACTGCCAGACTGCAACAAGATCATTCGAGCCGCATACGGGCACGAAGTGTGGTATCAGAATCTCACGCTCGAGGCCATCGAGCAGTGGGAAGCCTGGAATCTGGATCTGGCTCAGGGGCGAGATCTTCCCCCGGGGATGACCACCAAGGATCGCATCTACGTCAACTGCGGCAACTACCATCTGGGCGATGAGCCTGGTCTCAATCCGTTTGAGAAATTGTCCGTCGAGAATCTCACCAAGGCTGGCAAGGGCCATACCCAGTACATCCTCACCGACCCGGCTGAGGTCGAGCGGGCCAAGAAGGATGGCTATGGCTATGCTATAGACCCTTTCCATCTCGCGAAGGAGGGCAAGTATTCGGGCTATCTGGATGCCATTGGCGGGTTTGTCTACGCAGACAAGGCCTGCCGGTACGCGCAGCACAAGGCGCACCGACTCGGGGTCAAGTTCGTGCTGGACAAGACTGCCGGCCAGTTCGAAGGCTTTCTCCAGGAAGAGGGCGGAAAGGTCGTGGGCATCAAGACGAAAGACGGCAAATCGCATCCAGCAGCCCTGACCATCGTCGCCTGCGGCGGGTGGACGCCGTCTCTGCTCCCGGAGATGGACGGGCTGTGCGAGACGACGGCCGGGTCTGTCGCGATGATCCAGATCCCTGCCGACTCGCCCCTGCGGCAGCGTTTCTCGCCCGAGAACTTCCCCGTGTGGCAGTACAAGGTGCGTGCGGGCGCCGACGGCAACCTGTACGGCTTCCCTCTGGACGAGCGCAACGTGATGAAGCTGGGCTACCGGGGCACCAAGTACACGAACCCGCAGCGGGACGCGCAGGGCAAGGAGCGCAGCGTGCCCATCACGCGGTGGACGACGCCGTCGATCGACAACAAGCTGCCGCAGAAGTCAGTCGAGGTGATCCGCAAGTTCCTAGACACGTATCTGCCGGAGCTGCGCGAGCACGGGATCAACATCAGCAACACGCGGCTGTGCTGGTACACGGACTCGTTCGACAACCACTTCGTCATCGACTTCGTGCCGTCCAGACCGGGCGTGTTCGTCGCCACGGGCGGCAGCGGCCACGCCTTCAAGTTCCTGCCCGTGATCGGCCGCTTTGTCGCCGACCGCGTCGAGGGCCGCGAGGAGGAGGACATTATGCGCTTCTGGCGCTGGAGGCAGCTGGCGCCGGGCCAGAAGCCGTACAACGAGATCATGAAGGGCCGCAGCAGCCCGACGGCCTTGCAGAATGTGCGGATGAGCGAGGAGCGGGATCTCGTGCTGAGTGATATGAGTTATCGGTCAAGGCTGTAGATATATCTCTTAAACACATGATGATGGCGTTGTGCGCTAGACGTAGATGACATCGAATTCCGTCATATTCCCAAGTTAGCAGACAGAACAATACTTCTATTAATGTCTTTGTAGTCACTGGAAGCTGATGACAGTTCTGGAATCAATGTTTATCTTCTCTCCCGTGGCGGAGACTGTCTTGGCGGGTATGAAGTCATTCCTTGCAAGAGGCCCTGCATGAGCGCAACAGGGATAGAGGGAATAAAATGCGAGATCACAAAAGCATACTGCAAAGTATACAAATATTTCTCTTTCTTGCTTTATTTATTTGAATCGATTGTCTTCTACCCCCTTGTATAATGACTGCTGGTCGTGCTCGGCAATCGTCGGCAACCCAGCCTTCGCCGACGCCAGCCGAGCAAGTCCGTCCCCGCTGATAATCCGCTTTGAAGGGAGCGTCGCCCGCTATCTATCGTCACTCCCAGCTTCGACGTTTCTTTCTTCCTTTCCTCCTCTTCTTCTGCTGCTCATGGTCTGAGGAACAATCACTGACACAATGGCTTCGTCACTGGTCGGCCGGTGGGTTGCCCGCATCCCCCGCCGTCCGCACGCCGTCCTGGGCGCCGTACGATGGAACAGCTCCATCTCTCAGAGGCCGGGATCAGATCAGTAAGTGGACGACACCGTCTGTGTGCTGAAGACTTGCTCACTGATGGCTTGCAGTGTCCGCTTCCCCGGCGCCGTGAACAGCAAATTCACCTCCGAAATGACCTTCTCGCGGCCGTCCACCATGACTGCCATGCCCACCTATCGCGTCATGGACTCGGATGGAGTCATTGTCGATACCTCGCGCGGTCCGCCCGATGTGCCCGATGAGGAGGTCATTACCTGGTACAAGAATATGCTTACAGGTGTGTGATGTGATGGCCCGATGTCGTGGACGTGGCTGATTCTCGCGCAGTCAACATTATGGATGTCATCATGTTTGAGGCACAGCGGCAGGGCCGTATCAGCTTCTACATGGTAGGAATCCCAGGTCATTCTGAGAACTCTACGTCAGCTGACTGGTGAGCGTCAAACAGGTCTCCGCTGGCGAGGAAGGCATCGCCGTGGGCTCCGCCTCAGCGTTGGCCCCCGAGGACGTGATTTTCCTGCAGTATCGAGAAGCAGGAGTCTTCCAGCAGCGTGGATTCACGCTCAAGCAGTTCATGAGCCAGCTCTTTGCCAACCGCAATGATTCGGGTCTGGGCCGGAACATGCCTGTGCACTATGGGTCCAGCAAGTTGGGTATAGTAAGTGGAAACGAACGGATTGCCAATATTATTTTTTTTTAAATACCTGATCATGATTTCTAATTTCGATACTGTTTCTTAGTATACGATATCATCACCCCTGGCAACGCAAATCCCTCAGGCCACCGGAGCCGCCTACGCGTTGAAGCTGCAGGCCCTGCAGAATCCCAACAACCCGCCTCGCGTCGTGGCGTGCTACTTTGGCGAAGGAGCCGCCAGCGAGGGCGACTTCCACGCGGCGTTGAACATCGCCGCCACGCGGTCCTGTCCGGTCATCTTCATCTGCCGGAATAACGGCTATGCCATCTCGACGCCGACGCTGGAGCAATACCGCGGCGACGGAATCGCCAGTCGCGGCGTCGGATACGGGATCGACACGATCCGGGTGGACGGGAACGACATCTTCGCCGTGCGCGAAGCCACCAAGGAGGCGCGGCGCATGGCGCTGGAGAACGGCGGGCGGCCGATCCTCATCGAAGCCATGAGCTACCGCGTGTCGCACCACAGCACGAGCGACGACAGCTTCGCGTACCGGGCGCGCGTCGAGGTCGAGGACTGGAAGCGGCGCGACAACCCCATCATCCGGCTGCGCAAGTGGCTCGAGAACAAGGGGCTGTGGAACGACGAGCTGGAGCAGCAGACGCGCAACGAGCTGCGCGCGGCCATCCTCAAGGAGTTCAACGCCGCCGAGCGCGAGAAGAAGCCCCCGCTGCGGTCCCTGTTCACGGACGTGTACGAGAATCTGACCGAGGAGGCTGAGGCCCAGCGGCAGGAGCTGAAACGACACCTGGAAAAGTACCCAGATGAATATAATCTGAACGACTATGAGGACGGAATCAAGGGGTTGTAATTGCAGATATGGGACTGTATAAGAGAGTTTTCGTTTTTTCTTTCTTCACGCATGACTAAATGACTGTAGATTTTCTTCATGTATGCTATTAGACGAAGCATCATTGACACTGACTCGCCTGTATGGCCTATCTTCCTATCTTCCCCTCTCTATGTAATTATTAATTCCCTCTGATTGAATTCATGACTTGCCAAATCGGGCATTCGGCAGATAAGCTTCCGGCGAGCTTCCCCGTTCGGGCCAATTTATCCGCCGAGAGCTGTCCTCCTGCAACTCTCCTGCTTTCGCTTTGTCTGTTGCTACAATGCTGTTAGTGTCCTCGTTCATCGCCCTGGAGATGCTCTGCCAATGCTAGTAACATCATCTCAGAAATGAATTCTCACGCTGATTATTCTGCTGAGCTGGGATTCTGGCTGTTTTCGGGGTTTGCACCCCGCATTCTGCTGTCCCCGCCTAAACGCCAACGCTAATTTCGCCTATCCAGCATCGTCCACGACTCCACGCCAGTGGCGCTCTATGGCTCCATATTCCGGAGAAAAAGAACAATGCTAGTAGGGGAGTAGGTTGAAGCCATGCCATTGCCACGCCGCCGCCATCCTGTCGATCAGTTGCCGCATTGGCCATGTCGCAGCTTCTGCGCGGAGCTGCCCGATCTTAAAATACAGTTTTTCCGCCGATTTTTCCGGCCATACAGCTAGCTGCTGAGGCTCCTGTCGTGTATTTATTGCGGAGGATGTCCTCACTGCGGTGATTGCTGGCTGACTAGTCGACTGCCTCGGTCACCATGTTGTTCGCCAAAGAGCTGTCGCTATTGCTGGCTGCGGCCGGTCTCTGTCGCGCACAGCATGTCGTAGATCTCAGTGGGGATGGCTGGACGGTGAGGAACCAGCAGGGGAACGTCACGGTGCCGGGTCGTTTGCCTTCGCAGGTTCATCTGGATCTGTATGCTGCCAAGGTCATTGGTGAGTGCACTATTCGCGGAGGAATTTCCATGAAGACGAAATTGACTGACGAACTCTACTGGTTCTAGATGACCCGTAAGTGGATGAGCCATTGATTGATTGATTGGATTTGCTCATGTTGACGGATTGTCAGATACTATGGTCTCAATGATTTTGATCTGCGATGGATCGCCTGGTCCAACTGGACCTACACCAGCAATCCCATCACGAACCTGTAGGGAAAGTCATCATCGCAGGAAAGCTCGCACAGCTGACACTTTCCAGACTCGACAACGCCACAAGCACCTGGCTGGTTTTCGATGGACTGGACACTTTCACCACCATCGAGTTCTGCGGACAGTTTGTCGGGACGACGAACAACCAGTTCCGGCAGTGGAAATTCGACGTGACGGATATTCTCAAGTCCTGCAAAAGTGCTCCCACTCTGAGCCTCAACTTTGGCAGCGCGCCAGCCATCGCGAATGCGATCGCGAACCAACCTGGGCAAGAACGTCAGTGAGAATCGGATGGATGACGTTGAGAGAGTCGCTGCTAACTGCTTACAGAGTGGCCACCTGGCGTCCAGGGAGTGTTTGAATTTCCCAACCGCGAGTTCATCCGCAAAGAACAGTCCGACTTTGGCTGGGACTGGGGCCCTGCGTTCGCCCCCGCCGGACCCTGGCGGCCAGCGTATGTCGTGCAATTTGCCCCTGCGGACGGTGTCTACGTGCTCAACACCGATCTCGATATTTTCCGCCAGGGCCAGATCAATCATCTGCCGCCCGATCAGAGCGCGCCGTGGGTGGTCAACGCCAGTATCGATTTCCTAGGAAGTCTTCCCGAAGGGGCGTTGTTGACGATCGACATCAAGGACGCCAAAGACTCCTCCCCACTTGCATCTGGCCCGTTGAGCAATATCACCGTATCGGGGAACACAATCACAGGGATCACCACGGTGGACGCAAACGCCCCCAAGCTGTGGTGGCCAAACGGCCTGGGAGAACAGAATCTCTATCAAGTGACCATAAATGTCGTTGATAGCAAGGACAAGACTCTGGCCACGGTGACCAAGCGCACCGGTTTCCGCACCATCATCCTTAACCGAACCAACATCACCGAGGAGCAGCTGGCGCAGGGGATTGCGCCGGGAGCGAACTGGCACTTTGAGATAAACGGCCATGAGTTCTACGCCAAGGGCTCGAACTTTATCCCCCCGGATGCATTCTGGCCTCGGGTCACGGAAGACCGGATCCGCAAGCTCTTCGATGCCGTCGTGGCCGGGAACCAAAATATGCTCCGCGTCTGGGCGTCCGGCGCGTATTCTCCGGACTTTCTCTACGACATCGCCGATGAGCGGGGCATCCTCCTGTGGAGCGAATTCGAGTTCAGTGACGATTTGTACCCCGTGGACCAGGAGTTCCTCGACAATGTCGCGGCTGAAGTGGTCTACAATGTGCGCCGCGTGAACCACCATCCGTCTCTGGCGCTCTGGGCGGGAGGAAACGAGATCGAAAGTCTGGAGATCCCGCTGGCGCAGTCTGCCGACCCGGAAGGCTACACTAAGTATGTCGGGGAGTATGAGAAGCTGTTTATTAGTCTGATCATGCCGCTAGTCTACGAGAACAGTCGTTCCATCAGCTATAACCCGAGTTCTACCACCAATGGGTACCTGGAAGTCAATCTGTCGGCGCCGGTGCCGATGGTGGAACGATACTGGAATCTGACGCCCGGGTCTTATTACGGGGACACCGACTACTACAACTACGACAGCCGGGTCTCGTTCAACTACTCCAGCTACCCGGTCGGGCGGTTCGCCAACGAGTTTGGCTACCACAGCATGCCCAGTCTGCAGACGTGGCAGCAGGTCGTCCCCGAGGAGGATCTGTACTTCAACAGCAGCGTCGTGATGCTCCGGAACCACCATTACCCTGCCGGCGGGCTCTACACGGACAACTACCACAACAGCTCTCTGGGGATGGGGGAGATGACGATCGCGGTTGAGCGCTACTACCCGATCCCGTCGAAGACGGACCCCATCGCGAATTTCAGCGCATGGTGCCTGGCGACGCAGCGGTTCCAGGCAGACATGTACAAGTCCGAGATCCAGTTCTACCGCCGCGGGAGCGGGTTCCCGAACCGGCAGCTGGGGTCGCTGTACTGGCAGCTGGAAGACATCTGGCAGGCGCCGACGTGGGCGGGGATTGAATACGACGGCCGCTGGAAGGTGCTGCACTACGTGGCAAAGGACATCTACCAGCACGTGATTGTGTCGCCGTTCTGGAACTACACGACAGGCGACCTGGAGATCTACGTGACGTCGGACCTGTGGGAGGCGGTGTCGGGAACGGTGCAGCTGTCATGGCTGGATTTCAAGGGCCAGCCGCTGGCGCAGAATGCGGGCACGCCGACCAACTTGTCCTTCACAGTCGGCGCCATCAACACGACGAACATCTACTCGACGAACATTCGAAACCTGACCATCCCCGATCTGCGAGACGCCGTGCTGATCCTGTCGTTAGAGGCAACGGGCCACACGCCAAACGACCCAGAGCAGAAGGAAGTGACATTCACGCACGAGAACTACTTCACACCGGTCTGGCCGAACGAAGCGAAATTGGTCGATCCGCAGCTGCAGCTGTCATACGACGAGTCAAGCAAGAAATTCACCGTCGAGGCCAAGGCGGGAGTCGCGCTGTACACCTGGCTCGACTACCCGGCGGGCACGGTGGGGTACTTTGACGACAATTCGTTTGTCCTCGTTCCGGGAAAGCCAAGGGAGGTAGGGTTTACGGTGCAGGATGATACGTCGGGTGGAGCGTGGGCGGAGAAGGTGACTGTGCAGAGTTTGTGGGATCAGACGCAGCCGTAGCTGAAGACCGGGATGGGTGTCTGTCTTGATATAAGACTATTGTGGTGGATATGTGGGAGAAGGCTGTATATGCTGGATTTTACGTAGTACATACAAACATACATAGTGCATAAGAAATGGATATATAGCTGATAAGAGCTGGTAAACTGTTAGTTTGTCTGTATCAGGTACCGTTAAGTATTAGGTACTTGCTTGGCAATCATTTACCAAGCGTTACCCAGGTAAGGTCATTAAATATTGTCGGAACCATCTCCGAAGAAGGGGAGTCTAGGACAGGCTTATATACCTATATAAATAATTGAATTCCGGCATGATTCAAGGACATACTCAATTGGCAGTATATATAGTCTAACGAATAAATGAATTCCCTCCTGATCCAGGATACAGGATCTCACTATTTGTTATTATGTCCTCCAGCCGTTGGGAACAAAAAGATCATCTACTCTACAAGAATTGTTCCAATCTTTCTCTATATTGTATTGCTCAAGGATTGTTTTCGTTAGTCACTATTCGGACTTTTGAACCTATTCACTTCATATCGATTGATTCTTGTGATTCATATTCATATTCATGTATTTTCAGTCATATTATATGACAGAACACACACAACACCAGCTCTGATGCAAGAGGGAATCCTCACAAGAGAATCCGCACACATAAAAAGAGTAACATTGTCTTATTTTTGCTGGTTTGGATATATACATATCTATCCATTTCTGCTTGATGCTGCTTCAGCTTCGGAACCATAGACTACCTGCTTACTTACTTACCTACCTATCTACTTACTCTACCCCTTGTTTACGCAATCAAGCAAGCAAGCAATCAGGCAAGACCTATCTTCATCCTCGTTCCTGTTCCTCTTAATCCTTGGTAGGTAACACAAGGAACTTGTGAGTAGCCTGTCTACTAATCTCTTTGCTAATTATCCTTTGCTAATTATCCTTGCTAATCCAATATGCAGAGAGAGATATTCAACATCACCAATCTTAGAGATCAGAAAGCAGACTTATCTATCTATTTGTCTATCTACCACACTCTATCTATCACATCCTATCATAACCTATTTGATAAATCAAGGTATGTACAGCACGAAAAGAAAAAGGGTAATCCTTGCTAAGTAAGACTGCTACCCCACAGATGTGCACAGCCATATTACGAACCTACAAAGGATGCGGCTGCATACGCGACCATCTCAGCATGTGCGAAAACCACTGGGAATGTTTTAAAAAATATGAAAAATATCCCCCAGAGCAGCGACGAAGTTCCGGAGAGCTGTGATGAGCACACGAAAGTCAAAGATAAAGACGGAGGCGAAGAAGGAAGGTTTGTGGAGTTCCGCGTTGGTTGCCAACTGTTCTCTGGGTGAAGAGGAAGTGAGATGGAGTTAGATAAAGGGGGTTTATTTGGTTTGGGTTGGAATTACTTCCTTTTCCATTTGCTTTCTTTTAGGGAAGTTTCTGTTTTTTAACTATGTGTGTATGTGTATGTGTATGTTGTAAGAGTCCTTCCCAAAATGCAAGAATCTGTGCCTTGTATCAGAAATATAGGATATTATCCTCTACTAAATTAAATATTAATTGATAGGTATTGGTTATGACAAAAGGCTAGAATTATAAGAAATAGTTATTGTTTAATATATACTGCATTAAAGATAGGTTCCGTATATAAACTACACTATTAGATCTAATAAATGATCCTTTTTTAGACTCTAAAAGGTAGTAGTATTAGTACATGTACTGTAGAAATAAATGCACAGATCATGGTTAGGTCATTAAATAGCAGTAATATGCACTGCTGATCTTAGCTGCTAATAGTGAACGGGGATTTTCTTTCTCACTCAGATTTCATTGATCTAGATGTTTTCTTTTCTACAGCAGTTAGTTGAACCCATTCACCTCGATCATTCTGATTGATCTTCTCAGTCATATATTCTTAGTCATATATTGTCAGTCATATATTATATGACACAACGCAACACCAGCTCTGACTCAAGAGAGAAGAATTCATATAAAAAGAAAGAGTTAGCATTATCTTTTTTTTTATCCTACTTACTTACTTACTTACTCCCTCGGCTACACAATCAAGCAATCAAGCAACCAAGCAAGCACTTATCTTATTCTCATTCCTGGTTCTGATCTTTGGTAAGATGACTTTTAACTAACCTGTCTACTAATCTACATACTTGCTAATTTAATACATAAAGAGGAAAAAAGAAGGCAGTCTTACTACTTTATCTGTGCCAACCTTAAGAGATCAGAAAGCAAACTTATCTATCTATCACATCCTATCTGATAAATCAAGGTGTGTATGTACTTTACATACAGTACTTTACACAGATCCACGACAAAAAAAAAAAGGAACAGGTGGTTCTTGCTAACGCTGCTATTACCCCACAGATATGTGCCAGTACTTGTATAAAACTTACATAGAATGCAGACACCGCCGCCGAATTCTATGCGTCAACATGTTTTCCACCGCCGAAGCCAGGGGAGAGCCCTGCAATCCAGATAATTGCAAGCCCAATGAATCACTGGAAGCGACCGACCCAGGGAAATGTTGGTGGTGTGACTGGGACAGTGATGATGACCAAGACAAAGACAAAAGCGAAAAAAGCAAGGATAATGGCCAAGGATAAGGGACAAAGCAGAGGACCGGAGGGCGTCAAAGGAAAGATGTTTTGTGGAGGAGTTCTGCGTTTAGGTCTTGCCGACCGATCCATCTCTGGGCAAGGAAGGAGAAGTATAGTGAGATGAAGGGGGTTTATTGGTTTGAATCACTTTTCTCTGACTTTCTTTCTGTCTTCCTTCCTTCCTTTCTTTATTTTCTTTTTCTATTTCTTTTTCTATTTCTTTTCTCTTTTTTTTTTTCTATTCCTCTCCTTTCTTTCTCTTTCTTGCAATTTTTTTAGGGAACTTTCCTACTGTCTTTCAACATGTATGTGTATAGGTATGTGTATGGGTATGTGAATTTTCTAAGAGTCTTTTCCAAAATGCAAGCTGTCTGTATGTGCCAGCAGTCAGTCTATCTTCTAGAATATAGGATATTATCTTCCACTGAATGGAATATTGATCGATAGGTATCTGCTTGATAGAATCGGTTGAGGAAATTCAATTTATGGAATCTGATAAGACTAGATCGCCATTGTACGGTATATATACGTATACTATGTCGAAGACAGATCGGTTCTTCGATGCAAGATTTCTTTCTTAGCTTTGTAACCATAGTCAGTCGAGTCAGTCGAGCTGGTAATTAGTATCAGTACATTTACTGTACAGTACCATAGGAATAAAGGCGCAGATCATAGCTTCTTAAATATATTCCCTGGTCGATTTGACGCCAAGGACCATCCTCGGAACATTTCAAGTGAAGAACTGCTCAGCTGGTCTGTTGCAGAGGTTTGGCTCTTAGAATTCCGCTCATACAAGGAAAAGTAAGCACGGACCTAACCTATCGGAGAAAAAGTCGGCTATGTAGAGCCAGTATATACAGTATTGAGTAGGTATTTTCCAGTAGGGAACGTGCTTCAGTAGGAATATAGATTTCTCTTCCTTACTAGGGAGGATGGGCCGTGAGTATCTCCCTATCAGGAAGGTAGATATTACTCAGTGGGAATTATTATTATTAGCAGGCTTGGCATCCAAGACTCCGTAGAGCTAATATGCTAAATATAATCTGTCTGAGCCGGATAGCGGGTTTACCTCAGATCGGTGAGGATCTCCTGTTGCTTTTACCTGCCCATTAAGACATAGGCTGAAAGATCAGCTTCCTAGTCCGTATCCTCGTGGACCTGAGTTCTTCGACGACAGGCGTCTCTGCAATTCCAAGAGGGGCATTTAGGGCACGGATCGCTGCAGCCGCTGAACTGAAGTCTCCGATTGGATGGGCCAGCCGCGAGATCTCGATCCAAACTGAAGGATCCACAGAATTCTTTCATTAAGTCTTGTCCTGCGCTCAAACCTACTCCGGAGTATGCGAAAAAAGGAATATCCTCGTCCGTGATTGGTGGATTCGCGTCGATTCTGCCGTCTTCTGCACTGACCTCGCCTCTTGGCAGCCTTCGACTAGGTTGGAATTTTCCAACGCTGGAGCGGTTGGACGCGGTGTTCAGTCGAACAGCTGCTACAGTGAGCTGAAGGTTGGATTCTGTTTACCATGGTCAGTTGACGCGCAGAGCAGTGTTCGATGAGTCGATCTACGTGTACTTCTGTTGAGGATGATGAATTTAACAATTGGGAGATTGTGACCATGGATTGATATCGTCACAGCTGAAATGGCTGAGCCGCTGCTTTCCCGCCAGCATATTCGAAGACGGCGATCCAGATGAAGAAATGATATACAGCATGCACGTGCGTATTCCCCGGATGTCCCGGAAGACGTTATCCAGTTTTAAAATAGATGGATATACTGACGAGACAATAACCCGTGTGCTTTTTTGACTAGAGTGAATAGGGATAGCGATAGACCATGCTCATTGGACGTCTAAACGTCTCTTCAACGGGCATGCAGCTGCTAAGACATCCGTCTAGACCGTTGAAGACGTTCAGGCCGTTTTATTGCGATCATCGCGCCGGTTCCTGGAGAATCGAAGGAGATCGTTCACCACCTCATGCTTCGCCCACGTGGCATACTGACAGTCTTGGCATCAGTCAACGGGATATGCAAGCGGCATCGCGGGATTCAGTCACTCAGTATAAATACGGACCAGATGTCCTGCTGTGAGGGAAGAATTCGTTCCTGTACGCAGGACGACAATCCTCTCCATTCAAGATGAGGATCCCCGCGTCGCTTCTTCCCCTCACCCTGACCCTGGGCCTGGCCTCTGCCAGAGACCCCATCAAAAAGACCCTGACGGGCCACATCGACCCCTCCCAGGTGTATTCCTTCGTCTATGTGCCCTTTGACGTCGAGCCCGGAACCACCTCCATCTATGTGCTGCAAAACTACTCCGCCAAGGGCGCCGGCAACTCGCTCGATCTCGGCATCTTCGACCAGCGCGGAGTTCAACTGGCCGGCGCCATGAATGACACCTTTGGGTCTCGCGGCTGGAGCGGTGGCTTCAGGAACAACTTCACCATCACTCCTGCCTGGGCGACGCCGGGATACAACCCGGGTCCGATCAGCCCTGGCACCTGGAACGTCGTGCTGGGCCCCTACGCCTCGACTCCGCAGGGCATCGACTGGCAGCTGGATATCGAGATGGGCTTTGACCCGGTCGAGAGCTACTTCGAGCCGGCCTATGCCAACGTCAACCTGGATCCGATCTGCAACGGATGCACCGAGAACGACGAGTTCTGGTGGCTGCGCGGTGACTTCCACATGCACACCGTCTACTCGGACGGCAAGTACACGCCCGACCAGCAGATCCAGAACGCGCTGAGCCGGAATCTGTCCTTCATCTTCTTCTCGGACCACAACACGGACACCAGCAACGCCATTGCCGGCTCGTACCAGGCCTCGCTGGCTCCGCAGCTCCTCGTCGGCCGCGCGATCGAGGTGACGACTCGCCACGGCCATTGGCAAGCCGTCGGACTCGAGCGCGAGCAGAACATCGAGTGGCGATACCACCCGGGGGACAACCCGGGCTACGAGGCCGCGACGGAGGCCGTCCATCGCTCAGGGGGATTCGTGTCGATCAACCATCCGTTCATTGCCTGTCCGGCGTGCAACTGGACGTTCCCGGACTGGGACCACAACGACGCGATCGAGGTGTGGAACGGCGTGTGGGATGACACGGATCAGCAAGCTGTGAACAAATGGCACGAGCTGCTCGTCAGCGGGAAGCTGACCACCGCCATTGGAGGCAGCGATTCGCACTCTCCGCCGTCGCTCAACGGCCTTCCCACGACGGTGGTGAAGAGCCGCGGACGCTCCCAGGCAGGCATTGTCGAGGGCGTCAAGGCCGGACGGGCGTATCTACTCGAAGGTCCCGGGATGGACCTGTCGTTCAGCGTGAAGATTCCCTCGCAGTCGATCACAGCCCAGATCGGCGACAAGCTGTCGATCGGCGCGGCGGACGCAAAGGCCCAGTTCTCGGCCGAGGGTCTGTCGGGCCAGAAGGCGTGCTTCGTGTCTGACAAGGGATACTTCTACAATGAGACGATTGCAGATGGCAAGGAGATTGACCAGGACGTGCCCAAGGGGGCCAAGTTTGTGAGAGTGGAAGTGCGCAACAGTACGGATGATAGCATGCTGGCTCTGACGAATCCGGTGTGGTTGAACAAATGAGCAGACGACGAGAGGACCAGCTGAGAGATGAGATGAGAGGATGATTTGAAGTCACGCTTGAACGTGACAGCTGAGAACAGTATCTGGGTGAAGGCTTCTTTGAAGCCTTGAGTAGTAAGAAAAAAAAAAGCAATATAGGACGCAATGTCAGAGCATAATGTAATAGAATAGAAAGTGTCAATAGGTAGAGATGTTGGAAGAGGTAGTCGGAATTTAATTTTCATCCGACGACGAAGAACAAGACTGTACTTAAGCATGACTAGTCATCTCGCGTGGAGAAATAAATTCAACAGTGGGTCGTTCGTCTCCACGGTTGCAGACACGGGATAATGGCCTCTCAATTGGGTGTATGGGCATGTACATACCTGTAGGTATACATGTCTGATAGCGGCAGAATAGGAATGGTCACTGAGAAGCAGCTTTGCCGGTCTTTTCTATAACTGTGTCTGCCTGGCAGTGGCTATAATATAAAAATATAGCTTCATCTCTTCTCATTATACTGTATGTAATGAACATGTAGAGTAATTTCTCCCACGGAATTCAGCTAAACCAAAAAAAAATCTGCAGAGAACGAACCTACTCTGTACCAAACCCGCAAATCACTACAGACCCACCAGGGTTCAACTTGAAGAAAAGAAAGAGGATCGACATCTTATTTCCATCTCTGGAATCACGGCACGGTTCCGGATTTCTTATATTTCTTTCTCGAAAATGAAAATTATAATAAATGAGAATAGTACTCCGTAAATAGTAAGTGGACGGAAGAATGAGGGCCCTGTTTCGGCCCCCACGTGATATCCAACCTTATTATATTATTACTCCACAGATCGGATCGAGGATCGGAATTGATTGATTCATGGGGCTGAAAGGATAATAATGAATAGTAGAATGGATGGAAAGCATTGCCTGGTATGTACAGGTCTGTACATACGTATATCAATGTAGGGAAATCCCGTCCTTACGTAGGGATATGTGTGTACTATGTATGTATAACCCAGACGAATTAACATATAACAGTCCTTGCATACTTCAGATAGACAATTTCACGGCTAATAAAAGGGGCATTAGTATTGCATAAAACCCAAGAATCAAGGATACTGTACTCCGTATATGCTCATGCCCACACTAACGACCCCGTCTCCACACCAGATCGAAGATCGTCGTCAGCCATAGGTCCCTTGCTTTATCTTTATAGAAACAAGATCTACAGATTCTATCGTCCAGTGGAGAAAAGGTTATCGTGAATTGCCTTTCCTGTTTACGAAGTTGCAGATCCTGACTGCACTAGCTGCCGATCAGGGTCCCACGTACTGCTAGAAAGGGCCTTTTTTTGTTCCTTCTACTGGGGAAGATGAGGTCATAGCTGATGTGGCTGATTTATGCTTAATGGCACGAAAATGACGCATGGGTAGCCCGACGTACTATACGGGGAAAGGAGTATTTTTTTTTCGTCCGGCTGTGTTTGCGATAATTGCATGGAACCAGTCCTCGTCTCGTAGATATAAATCGGTCGTCCTTTCTCGTCTTTATCTGAGCTGTCTGTCCAGCAGAATAGACCGTTCACCTCGAAAGCCTACCTACTATACTACTCCTCAACATGAAGCTCAATATCACATCCCTCCTCCTCGCCGCGAGCGCCTCCCTCGCCAGCGCGCAGTACAAAGGCATCATCTTCTTCAAGGAACACGGCCAGTGTCCCCGACAAATCGAGTCCGAACAGCAGACCGACTTCGAGTACACGGCCGGGTCGAACCTGTGCATCCCGATGGGGTACTCGTCCGACAACTACGGCGTCGGGCTGAGCGCCGCGCTCATCGGCAACAACGACATCCCCCCGACCAAGCTGGGGGGATGCCCGACGTCGTCGTGCAATGAGAATTGCCAGACTACGAGCATCAAGCAGACGGGTAACGGTATCTATCTTGGCTGCGCGCAGTTTACGGATGCGCCGTATTTGTATATTGGGAGATGAATGGACAGACTGTTAGATGGATGTGCGGATATGTGCTTATGTTAATATGAGGTAAGAAAAGTCGATTGTTTGCCTGTTGAAGCAGTGCTCTGTCTTTATGGATGAGGTGGCTGACTTGAATATAGCAGAGCCTGCATTTCCCGTCGAGTTATTCAGCCGATCATCCGATCAAAAAAAAAAATATTTTCATGACCTGTACAGTACAATCGACGTCTTCAATCATGTATTCAGATGTATTCAGTTGCTATTACTAGATGAAATGTTCTCTAAATGGAAGAATTATTATTACAATTCTTGTGATAGGTCTTGTCATCTCGACTCGCGAGTGGGCTCTAACTATATCCCTTGGTATAATTGTAGAAAAACACCGACAGGACAAAAAAAAACAAAGAATGCCTATAGCAGAGGATTTAGCTGCTATACAAAAAGTCACGGTACGACCATGTCAATAGCCATTTTCTCTTCGCTCGCTTGCTCGCTCCTCCCAATCAATCACTTCCAGCCTCCCTCTTCCTACGTCAGTCGTATTGAGGCTGATGAATTGCCTAGGACATTCCTCGTATTGCGCCTTTGCCGTCGTCGCCCCGGCCAGCCGGGGCAGGACATTCTGCAGCGCACTGTACACGATGCCGTTGGACGCGCCTTCATGCCACTCACTGTCATCCTTGTGAATGTCGGACGCCTTGCGGATGTTCGGATCCGTCGGCAACGAGAAGGAGATCAATCGCGGATGCGGCGCGATGCAGGTGAAGTCCGGGAAAGCGTTGCGTCGACACAGATCGCTGAACCCCAGATCCACGGGCTGATTCAGGGGCGCCAGGGACATGGACGCCATGGCTCTCCGCGCCCCGTTGTACGTCACCGCGTATCCGTTCAGGCACACGGCGTCGTTGGCCTCGTATACCAGGCGCGTCGTGTTTGCGTGCTCTTTCCACGGCGTCATGTCGGGTTCGCCGAACTCGGCTTTGCGTCCGGCCGGCCGGACGGTGGGATCGTCTGAGATCACGTAGAAGCGACGGCGATCCCGACGAGGCGTGGCGCCGCAGTGGCCCAGCCAGAGAATGTCCCAGCTGTCGCCGTACGGAGAGGATGGATGCTCATGGCTGCTGCTGCTGTTCTGCAGCAGGCGAGCTCCGCGCGCGAACTCGACGAGTTGGGACTTTAGCATCACGTCCCAGTCGGAATCATCCTCTAGGATGAGCGCGGTGGAGATGCGCTCCGCTACGATTCTTCGTCATATTTCAGCTCCATCCATTCAGTAAGGATACTTGGAGACTGGCTTACTTTTGCATTGCATTCATGTGAGCACGCCAACATCCCAGCTCGCCTGGAAGATGGATATTTCGGTCCCAGGTCTAAAAAATTAGAAATGCAAACTAGGCGAGATTCTCAGGCTCCTTACTGCTGGGTAGGAACTATTCCATATGTCATCCGGACTGACCGCGTCAATCCAGTCGATTACGAAGTCGGTCAAGGACGAGGCCAAGATCATGGCATCACGCTTGTCAGTGCGTTGAGGGAAGCCAATGGCAAAGACTTTTTGGAACTGTGGCTGTCAGCTACAGCATGATGATAACTATATATTCAATAGCCTTCACTCACACCCAGGGTTGTATTCCTGATGTCAGCAAGACTCTCGTCATCGACTGCTGACGATTCTGTCGTCCTGGGACTGGAACTCGAACTAAAGTTGAAACTAAACCTGGTCCTCCGCCATAGCATGAGCAGAGTCGCCCAAGCGAGCAGCGTGCACACCACCAGAAGAAGCGGACGCGTCCGCGATGACCATGCCCACACCTGAGGACCGGTCAGCATGCATTGTCAGGGCGGACAAACGACGTACCATTTTTTTTCCTTCGAGTCAAGGGATAGGGAATTTTTGCCATTGCGCACAAATGTACTCTGGCTCGCAGGCCATACATATATGAAAAGGTGTGCCTAGGGCGTCTAGTTGTGCTATGGCGTGGCCGCGTGGGGGCCGCAACCAACACCAACAACAGTTCTAGCCAGCCATGCGACTGCTCAAAATTACGTACTTGCTAGCCGATTTTATTTCTCGTAATCGTGATCGTCGGGAGAGTGCTTAGAAAGGATTCCATACTCGGTATCGTACGCTGAATTCTTCGACTATGAAAGGGTCAGAAGGTCGAGGGAGGTAAAGTTGGATTGCCCAAGGGAAATGATCATTTCCTACTTGGGAATAGTTGACAGCTGACAATAATCACGCTATTCAAGGGCCCACCAGATAAAATAGGAATGAAGACGTGTGGTTGAAGGAGTACTTCATGAGAAATAGGTACTTGGTCCTATATATATATGATCTTAAAGGAAACTTAGTTCTCATCCTAAGAACAGCTATAAGAGGAATCCTTATACTCCGTACAAGGAAGAAAAAAGAAGCAACCAACAGATAACAAAGAAAACACACTAACCCTTTCTGTAGGGTGAATGAGCTTGACTAGTTATCCAAGTCTTTTATTGGTCCCGAGCATCTGCCAGTCCAGTTACCAACAAAGGATATGCAATTCACAAATGACAGGGGTAAATGGCCTCATTTCCCCGGAAGGCTATTTGTAAACAGAATTAAATTTTTTTATTCTTAGCCAGTCGATTAAAAATAAACTCCAAGGAGGAGGAGCATCTACTTTTATTAAACCTACCGGAATACAGGAATATATCGAAGAATATTATTTATTTAATTTTTGTTCATTTATTCTTAATACTTTCAATATCTCATCTCTTAATTTGAATTATTAGTGACTTGTTCGAGTATTTCACCAACCATGCCAGGAGTCCGAATTGGTCTCAAATTGGCAACGTAGTCGTGTGATATTCCTTTATTTATTTTATTTAAAGTTATTCGTGGAATTTATGTCAAATATTATACGGAGAAGTAATTATATAGCTAACGAAATATTTCCTTCTCACTATCAGAGATTACGCAAATTCGTAATTACAGCAGTTAAATAAACGCAATAACAACCCCATGGCATTCTCTTTATCATGATTAAAATAAGAGACCATACTTCCGTAATGCTTCCTAGTATAGGAATTTATGTAAAAGGGTAACTAAGCTAACTATAACCTTAATATTCTAGCTTACAAGAGGAGAAGGGATAGGGTTACAGTGGGAGATATTATCAATATAGTATTACACACTGTTTGTCACAGCTCCATAGACGAGGATAGATACCAAATTCGAAAAAAAAAACGAAAGAAATGGACCTAAGCAGTATTTTCTGCACCAACTGGTTTTCTTCGCTTCCTTCAGCGCTGTTATTATTATTACTCATTGTCTCTGGCGAGTAGTTTACTCTTTCGCTCAAGTTCATTTACTCAGAAAGGAACGACAGAATAAGAGCCGTATGGCATTCTCTGACCATGAATACATGTATTTATCAGCCTAGAAACTGATCAAATAACCTATTCCAGAGTAATCGTTTAATTGAGATGCTTGGCACGGCGTGTGTGGAGATGATCACTAATCATTAATTTCAAGCGCAATCACCTCGGAATTTCGCTGAAAGAAAGAAAAAATGCAGCAGGGGATCCTCGTCAAAGTTCTCTTGTTCGAATCAGATCTGCCATTACTACAATCATCCTGCGCGTCGACAAATTCGATCGATCTATATTCCTACGGGAGCCGTCTCGTCATGGCATATACCTACCTCCGCATCGATAAAGACGACAACATCGCAGCATCCGCCCAGAAATACAAAGAGCTCCGTCTCCAGGCACTGAAACTCACACCCACCTCATTCGCATCCACGTACGAGATTGAGTCCGCGTTTACGGATGACGAGTGGATCTCCCGACTACGCAGAGATGGGATCGAGACCTTTATCTGTGAGCATAACCAGTCCGGTCATGTCGAATGGGTCGCCCAAGTCACTCTTCGCGGTCCGCTACCAGCGGAGGACTTCATCCTCCCGCCTGCCTCGGGCCAGCCCATGCCGCGACTCGACGACGCAGAGGAAGAGCGCTGGCAGATGCTGAGCCTCTTCGTCCTGCCCTCGCACCGAGGCAAAGGCATCGCAAAAGATCTCTGCCGCGAGGCGTTGCAGTACCTCATCTCGTACCGCCCGCATCCGGCGCACGTCCGGGTGCGCCTGATGGTCAAGCCGGAGAACCAGGCCACGGTCAGATTGTATCGACAGCTGGGGTTCGTTGAGGCGGGGAGGTGTACCCTTGCAGAGGCGCTTATTGCCAATGGTGATGCGGATCTCCTGCCCGAGGGTTATGAGGGTGATGCAAAGTACAGTGTGAGAAGTGGGTTGATTATGATGGTGGATTTGTCTAGGAATAGCTAGACGGAGAGTGGGAGTTAGCAAGGAGTTTTCGACGGGATAGATTTATGGCAATAGATCGTGTTGTTTCACCTCAGCTTAGTAGAATTCCTTCATTTCCTTTATTTTCTTAAATGGTACAATGATGTGGACCATAGGTACATGGAATAGTCTCTAACGACTTGATATACGCTCGATAAGCCTGCATGCATGCCCGATCTATGATCTAGCACTCTTTGCAAGTGGCATAAATTCAATCTTGCTTGCCCGTGTTATGTATTTACGCTGCTGTGTATAAGAGCGATATATTATTATTATTATACATGCAACTTCAGATTTCGTCTCTCTAGCTTGCTAACCCTAGACAGACACTGCAGCGGCACTCCAGACAACATGAACGCGCCATGGTACTTTGCTGGCCCGAACCAGGCGGGCGCCCTGTCGACGAGCCTCCACAGCGTGCCGGGCTTCAGCGACGCGGACCACGACGTGTTGCTGGCGCTGATGGCGTGGGTGGAGAACGGCACGGCGCCGGGGCAGATCATCGCGACGAAGTGGCAGAACGACACGCTGCAGGATAGGGTGGTGCGACAGCGTCCGTTGTGTATGTATCCGAACCAGGCGGTGTATACTGGTGGCGATGTCGATAGGGCGGAGAGCTGGAAGTGCGAGCCTTTATACTAGTCGAACTAGGATCATATTATTACCATCAAGCTGGTTTCTACAATAAAACCAGACAAAGCGCATATTTACGAGTATTACCACAAGCACACTTCTGCTTTTTCCGGACACCTCGACCTTCGGGTCTGAGACAAGCAACCTAGGGATCGGCTGCCAGCAGGAGTAAAGGAAGATTCCAAGTAGACACATGATGGATAGTGACAGTCTTCATATCACCTTCCTCGACTGACGGAATCCTCTTCGTCCTGGTTTTCGTATGATTATCCTTTGGTCGATACGTTGGTCGACGTCGTCTCTTTTTAGTCTTGACATAGACGAATGAAATATGTGGCCTATGTCACCCTTATCTGCCCAATCTTCATGTTGCTGAGGTTAAGCACGGTCTTTGTTGTATTACCAACCATGGTTCCCTTCCCTGAACCTTCCTCTTCGACCGAGTCAACATGCCGGTCAAAATTACATCTTGGAAGTCATTTTACTGAGGCCTCTCCTCTTCGACTCCAAACAGTCTTATTGTTCGGAGCCCACTTAGTTCAGCTGAACAAGCTTTGTTTTCCCATAGCGCTACCTTGTCCGAAAAAAAAAGATTGCTTTTCCCCTGCACTTGCATGTATTGAGGGGATACGTGAGGTTTCTGTTGATCGTTCGGTCCATCCATCATGGCGAACATCCCACCATTGGCATTATGCCTGACTTACTGTTATTTACTGCTGGTCGGAGCCAGCCACAACTTTGAAGCAGAAAAGCGGGCAGCAGCAGCAGCAGCCATGAGCGACAAAATCACCACCTTCGTCCACGAGCTGGGCCTTCCATCTTCAACCCAAGCTTCAGAACTGGGTGACAAGCTGCGAGGGGATTCCAACCTCTCAGCATTTCTCAGTGGTGGTAACTTTAGCCATCATCTCTTGGCTAAGCTGGCGTGTTCTTCGATCCAAAAAGTCCTGGGTCCTAATAGTGCAGTAGACTATGACAACCAGACCGAGGTTGATGCCAATTGGTAAATAAGCGGTCGTCAAGTTATCGAAGATTCCACCAGAAAAGAAACTGACAAGTCATGACTCTAATCAGGTCTGAAACATGCTGACAAACTCCATCCTGTGTTGTTCTTCCAGCATCAACGCAGGATGTCTCCGTGACACTTCGAATGATTAGCTTTTTCCAAACCAAATTCTCAGTCCGCAGTGGTGGTCATTCGCCAAACCCAGGCTGGTCTAGTATTAGAAAGCCAGGTATCTTGATTGACCTCCAAAAGCTCAATAAAATCGCTATTAGTACCGATAAGTCTGTTATCAGTCTTGGCCCAGGCGGCCGGTGGGGTGATTTCTATACAGCATTGGACCCCTATGGTGTGAGCGTTATTGGAGGCCGGCTTCCAGACGTTGGAGTGGGTGGACTCATTCTTGGGGGTTTGCGGTCTTTGCTAGGTACATGTACTGTACTTATAATTAATGCTAATCTAAAGATTTAGGAGGCTCCTATTATTTTTCAGGGCAATATGGTCTGGCCGCAGACAATGCAAAGTCTCTGTTTGCATTGCTAACTTTGATGATAGATTGTTCTTGCAGACGGAACCATTGTGGATGCAAATGCACAGCAGAATTCCGATCTCTTCTGGGCACTGAAGGGTGGTGGTCCCAATTTCGGTAATAGAAATAATACTGATGCAATTGTTTCCATAGCCTGAATACTAATCTTTTAGTAAGGCATTGTCACTCGTTTTGACCTCTTTACCATACCAGTACACGAGATTTGGTACCAAGTGGGAGCATATACGGTCGATCAAATTCCAGCTGTCCTTGATGCCTTTGTTAAATGGCAAGAGAACGGCGCTTCAGACGTGAAGTCGACCGTGATTCCTATTATTGGCCTGGAAGGCGTCACCCTTGTATTAATCTATTCAGAACCTGCCACTCAGCCAGCAGCATTTGCTCCATTCTATAGCATTCCTGCTGCGGTTATTCCTGTTCCTGCTCAAAACTCCACGGTTTTGGGTCTGACTACTGTTCTTGCAAGCGCGTTCTCAAATGCTCCAGCGCGGTAAGAAACTTCCTACATTTGGAGATTGGCCGCTGATATATACAATCAAGACATGATTATTGTGCGGCAAGTTCTAAGATTGATGCGCAGCTGTACAAGGATGTTTACTCCTTCTGGAGAGAACAGGTGCTAGCTGTCAACCAGGACACTGGTGCCAATCAGACTTTCATTCTTTAACCTATCCCAGTCAGCCTGGTGAATGCAGGAAATGTAAGGGGAGGAAATGCGGTTGGACTTCCTAGAGAGAATTTCCAATGTAGGATTTCCTTGCATATTTCTACAGCATAGTTGCTTGCTAATCTTTCTGTAGTGTGGACAACAGTAGTCGACTGGACAAATGTGCAGGATGATGCAACAGTGCGAGGAGTGTCCATTGCCACAGGTCAGAAATGGCAGCAGCTGGGAGAAGAGCGTGGACTCTATGTTCCGTTCCTCTTTATGAACGATGCTTCTCGCGATCAAGATCCTCTGTCATTATATGGCTTGGACAACCTGTCAAAGCTGAAAGCCATATCGAAGAAGTACGACCCAGCCCAGGTCTTCAAGAAGCTGCAGAACGATGGCTTTTTGCTTTCAAAGGCTTAGAAAAGGAGCAGCATTTGGGAAGTTCAATTGTACTGTACCTCTTACGTGGACGTTAACACAATACCTTAAAGCTATGATAGGGTATACTAGTAGCAGCATCACATCAAGCTGGTTTCTACAATAAAACTCGACAAAGCACTCCGCCATGAATGTGTGTACGAGGATTACCACAGAAGTCCCATCGGTGTCTGAAAGTCCAGTAAAAAGAATGAATAAAAGTGTCTATAGGAGAATAACAGCCGTAGTAGCTATACTATATGTTTTACCTATTCCAGAAAAACAGTTACTATTCAGCATAATCTATCCACAAAGTAGGAATACATTTATTGACCTCTTCTGCCTTTCACCAACTAATAATTGGCACTGTTCCAACTCCGAATAAATAAATTCCCGCATGATTTTTAATTACGTGACATGGCTCATCGATCCATATGTAATACGAAGAATAGGTAGGCTCTAATTAAGTAGCATCTCTTGGTAAAAAAATAAAAAAAAGGAGGGATAGATTATCAGCACCATCGCATCGCATGGCTCTAGAGAATTGTTAACAACAGCAACTCAAGAACCAAACAGAGCGAACACAGGAAGAAGGATATACCATGTCTCCATTTTTTTTGAAAGAAAAAGAAAAAAGGAGAGAGAAGAAAAGAGAAAGGACTTGCAACAGCGATTTCGGCGGATCTCCAACAACATATTGCTTATTCTCGGTAGTGGTAGTGAGTACCATTTACTAGTCAAGCCGAAAAAATGAAAAAAAAAAGTTCCTCATATTGTCAATCTCCGTTCATATTTCTTTTTTCTTTTTGCTTTTTCTTGCTTATTTATTTAGGGTATTTCCTACTATACTATCAAGTAATACAGCACGTTCAATAGCAAAATGGTTTTCTGATACTTTATTTGAAAAAAAAAATAAAATAAAATAAAAAAATAAAAAAGAAAAAAAAATTTCGAGGTCACAAGTTACCTCTCTACTCTGTTTTTAATTCCAAGTCTGCTAAGTAATAATTGAATCCAAGAATCATGAGATCATCAGATTGGTCCGGTCCTAAGAAAATCAGAAAATTAAGATTGGGTTCTCGAACTCATACTCCTCACGGAAAGGTTAATATTATGAAATATGTATTCTTTGTCTTCGAATGCCAGTGACGCCTTGAAGCCTACTACGCTTTGCTTTGCTATGGTATGCTTTTGCTTGTCATGTCATTCTTACATATACCATATCGCAAGACGCATACTGTTACAGCTATATGTATTTTCTTCAATTTTTTTTTGTTGTTGTTGTTGTTGGGAAAAAAAAACATGTATGATGTGCCGTTTATCCGATAATAAAACGCGCGAAAATCGAAGCATCATCATCAAGGGATAACCCGCTATTATGACTGTTCTGTAAGTAGTGTCAGCATGCCAATGCCAAGCCAAGCCAGGTAAGCCAAGCAAGCCAGGTTTTTTTTTTCTACATATGACCCGTCACATGGGTCATTGTTCTCAACTTCTCTCCTTCAGTGATGAATGACATCGCTTAAGCAACAAGGGATATGACGCAAGAAGTAAGTGGCGGGTAACAATAACCACTGAGCATACATGAGTAGTAACTAACTATTAATGTCGAGACGCGAGGGATAGATAGATAGTACATACGTACACATACATGTATGTACCTAACTGCAGCAAGGCTTGTGACTAGGGGGAGGACACACACACCCTCTCATATATGTCTTATATTATTATTATTATTTTCCTACAGAATAAACGTCTTGCCATTTCATCTCCAATCTCAACTTCCGCGACTCTACATGTAGTCTCGCCATGTACATATTCAAACTCTCCCTGCTCCTCCTCCTCGGAGCAGTCGTCTACCGAGTCATCCAGTCCAGGCTGCGCAGGCGTCGTCTCCGTCTGAAGGCAGCGTCGCTAGGATGTGAGCCTGCCCCAGTTTTCCAACTGACGAACTGGCTGGGGATTCCGGCCAAGAAGGGTAAGCAAAAAGATTCAGTTCCTGGATAAGCGACACGTTGACTCCGACAGAGTCCATCCAAGCCACCAACGAAGACCGCAACCCGCAATTCATCATGCAAGCCATGGACAGCATCTCGCCGGACTGCCACACGGTGCGCGTGCCCATCTTCGACTACGACGTCTTCGTCACGCGCGACCCGGAGAACGTGCGCGCCATCTTCGCGACGCAGAGCGCCGACTTCGACATCTCCGTCTTCCGGCAGATGAGCTGGCTGCCGATGCTGGGGCGGGGCATATTCACGACGCGCGGGTGGGAGTGGAAGCACTCGCGGGCGCTGCTGCGGCCGCAGTTTGCGCGCGATGTCATTGCGGACGTTGACCGCGAGGAGCGGCATGTGCGTGCGCTGATGCAGCGGTTGAGCGTGGACCCAGAGTCCAGATGGACAGGCAAGATCGACCTGCAGCCGCTGTTCTTCAACTTCACACTCGACACCGCGTCTGAGTTCCTGTACGGCCAGTCGGTGCACTCGCAGCTGGGCCGTAAGGATGGCGTCGACATCGCAACGCACTTCCATCAGGCTAAAGTCTGCGTGCACCGCCGTATCGAGCTCGACAAGTTCTACTGGCTGTTCAACACGAAGAGCTTCCGCGAGTCGTGCAGTTTCTTGCACAGATGGGTCGACGAGATCGTTGCCGCGAGGCTGGTGCAGCTGAAAAACCACGACAAAAAGTCCGACAAATTCGTCCTGCTGGACGAGCTGGCCAAGGACACGCAGAACCCGCAGGAACTGCGCAGCGAGACGCTGAACGTGCTGGCCGCAGGACGCGACACGACAGGGGCGCTGCTGGGCTGGGTCTTCTACTTCCTGGCGCGACATCCGCGAGTATACGCCAAGCTGCGCGAGACGGTGATGGCGACGTTCGGCGCGCACCCGACAAACACGAGCATCGACTTCCGGCGCCTGCGCAGCTGCGCGTATCTGCAGTACGTGATGAAGGAGGCGCTGCGCGTGGCGACGGTCATCCCGATGAACGAGCGGGTCGCGCTGCGCGACACAACGCTGCCGACGGGCGGCGGCGCGGACCGCAAGGGCAAGATCTTCATCCCGGCCGGCACGCAGATCCTGATCCCGACGTATGCGATGCAGCACCGGCGGGACCTGTGGGGGGACGACGTGGAGGAGTTCAAGCCGGAGCGGTGGGAGACG